TGCCAGTTGTTCTAAAATACTATGTACACAGTTTAGATGCAAAAAATAAACTTGATTTAGTGTTTAGTCCCACTTTAAGTTCACATTCCAACCCCTAGTCAGTTTAATTGAATTTTTATCTGCTTGCTTTTGCTTTGGTTCCGTAACTTTTGCTAAATTTGATCTTATATCCTTGTGTCTTCTCTGCAGGTTTCTGTCATGTTTATCTGAACGAGAAAGAATACCCCAGAGGCTACAGCTTTGACCCGGATGAGATGAACTTCCCGACCTCTGAACTGTGTTTTGCTGGTCTCATCTCCATGATCGACCCACCCAGAGCCACCGTGCCCGACGCCGTCATGAAGTGCAGAACAGCTGGGATCAGGGTACGTCCGTTTTAATGACAAACATGTACAAAGATGGCTGAGGGAGCCAATACAAATTTCTCAAATAATAATACTCCTTTACATTAATATATTACGACTCAAGTGCAATTAAAATGTTATGAGTAATGCAAACAGTTACTCGAGTAAGAATAAAAAAGTATTGCTACTACTCAAGTGCCAAGACACTGTTTTGATGTAATATCTGACTTATGATGTAGCATTAATATAATCTGATAGACAATACATTTCTAAAAGCTCTGATCCTTGTATGTATTTTAAAAGCAGAGACCACAAAAACCTTAAATTAAGCTGCACAAAAATTAATTTTCATTTAATGTTGTTTGTTTTTACTTTTAGACATACAGCGATACAGATGAGTAATGAAACATTTAAATAAGAGTACAGTCACTTAAAAATATTACTCAAGTAGGAAATTGTTATGTGACTGTTTTCACACTTTACACTTGTCTTTGGTTTTGGTTCGTACACAGTTTGGTCCTGATGTAGACTTGGTTTGGTCCTGTTCTAATCCCAGTAACAACTCACCCTGGCCATGTTCAGCTATTACACCATCAGTATTGCTCGATCACAAACTAATTTCATGATGTTTAAATTTTCAGGTTGTCATGGTAACTGGAGACCACCCAATTACAGCACGAGCAATCGCGGCCAATGTAGGGATCATCTCTGAAGGCAGTGAAACCGTGGAAGATATCGCTCAGAGGAAACGCATACCAGTCGAACAAGTCAACAAGAGGTAGAGGCAGAGTCATTAACACGTTTATAGTTATACTTCTTAATAAACTCGGCAAGACAAGTTTATTTGTATAGCACAATTTGTACACAAAGTAATTCAAAGTGCTAAGAAATACATTAAAATCACAATAAAAACAATTCAAAACATAAATAATTATCATAAAATTAAAAAGAAAGAGAGACATTAAATTAGAGAGAAGCGTGCGGAATGAAAAATGAAAAACCTTTCAGTCATATGCACAGCTAAACAACTGTTTTGAGCCTGGATTTAAACAGCGTCAAAGTAGAGGCCTGTCTAACATCTTCAGGAAGACTGTTCCAGGTTTTAGCTGCATGAATCTGAAACACTGTGTTTAGTGTTTAGTCGTGACTCTGGGCACCGCAGGAGGCCGGTCCCTGAGGTCCTCAGAGTGCGAGATGGTTCATATGGCACTAACATGTCACAGATGTAGTTTGGTGCAAGGCCATGGACAGACTTTGTACACCAGAGAAAGCTAGTGCAGAGACCTGAGCACAGGACTTATGTGCTCGTACTTCCTGGTTCGAGTCAGGACCCGAGCTGCAGCGTTCTGGATGTACTGCAGCTGTCTCACAACTGTTTGTTCATTATGATTTAAGTCTTTGTTTGTGCTTTCACCCTATCAGATAACTGTGCGATATTGCTAAGCCTTTAAAGTTGTTGTGTGTGTTTTGCTTCAGGGAAGCCCGTGCCTGTGTGATCAGTGGGGGTCAGTTAAAAGACATGAGCAGTGATGAGTTGGATGAGGCGCTCAGAAACCATCCTGAAATGGTGTTTGCCAGAACCTCTCCTCAGCAGAAGCTCATCATCGTGGAAAGCTGTCAGCGCCTGGTACATGCACACAGACAAAACTCAGCACTCAGCTGTGGTGGAACCCTTTATAGATTGAATGATTGGCAGAATGGTCAACAGATTTTAGATTCATTCAGCTTTGGGTTAAAATTTTTAGGTGCACATTCTCTATCCACATAGGGAATGTTATTATTTTGACCCATCCTTAAATGCGGCTGGGGTAACATTTCAGGATTAGTGACTTAGCGATCATCATTTAACTTAACTTCATGGCACATTTTGTTTTCCACAGGGCTCCATTGTTGCTGTAACAGGTGATGGTGTGAATGACTCTCCGGCCCTGAAGAAAGCAGATATTGGTGTTGCTATGGGCATCGCCGGCTCAGATGCAGCCAAGAACGCAGCAGACATGATCCTTCTAGATGACAACTTTGCTTCCATCGTCACCGGGGTGGAACAGGGTATAAGATATGCACTCCATCTTCATTGAATATTCGCAAATCTCACTACAGAATTCTGACCTGCCCTCCAAATCAGTATTAAACTATAGAAATTCAAGAATGTTGTGATGTGAAACCTATCAATAGTCTCACCTAAATTAATTCATACATCAAAGTTTATGGCTTAAAGTATAAACTGTCTCTCTAGGTCGTCTTATCTTTGACAACCTGAAGAAGTCCATTGCATACACTCTGACCAAGAACATCCCAGAGCTCACCCCGTATCTCATCTACATCACTGTGAGCGTGCCTCTTCCTCTGGGCTGCATCACCATCCTCTTCATCGAGCTGGCCACGGATATTGTGAGTCCATTATCCAATAGTTAAAAGTAACAGTTGTCACATACTGAAAAGACACATATTACACACACTTTTGGGTGTTTGCAAGGTGGTTTTAGTTGTATAATCTGGCAGCCCAAAATGAAAAGTTCATATAACTTTAAATTCAATGACAATAAGATATTTGTATAATTCCTATGTGATTGACTCCATTGCAGTTCCCCTCTGTGTCTCTGGCCTATGAGAAAGCTGAGAGCGACATCATGCACTTAAAGCCCCGAAACCCCCGTCGTGACCGTCTGGTAAATGAAGCCTTGGCTGTCTACTCCTACTTTCAAATAGGTGAGTTTTTCTTCTCAAAAAAACATAATTAGTAAATGCAAATAGTTAAAATGTCTTGAAATCTGAGGGGTTTTTTTGTTGTTAAATTCAGATTCATTTACTTGTTCAGATCATCCGACTTGCTTCAAAATGTGTCTGTGACTAGTTTCAGTTATTTGACATTGCCAGAGGAGTCATTGCACTAACCCTATTTTCATTTTTACTTCCTTATCTGTTGCTAAACGATCTTGAAACCATTCTAAAATGTTATAATGTCAAAACAAGTTACACAATCCAGGTAATATGAGCAATTAAATCCAACCAAACAAACCACGATTAATATTCTGAATACAAGACATGTAAATGAAACCATGCAAGGAGTTCAGTTTTAGCAGTGTCTGTGAGTGTTATTTTATTATATTATATTCCTGGTTGACCTTTGCCCTCTCCTTTGTTTCAGGTGCGATCCAGTCCTTTGCAGGTTTCACAGACTACTTCACAGCCATGGCACAGGAGGGCTGGTTCCCGCTCCTATGTGTGGGACTGCGCTCACAGTGGGAAGATGTTCACCTCCAGGATCTACAGGACAGCTATGGACAGGAATGGGTGAGTACAATAAACAATGAAGGCCTAAAAGTATAATTAGGGCTGCACAATATGAGACTAAAATATCATATTAGGTAACAATTTCCAAAAACATATTCTGTTTATACGGGTTATTTAAATTTATGAGAAGGTTTCTAATTGTTTAGCCCAGAATGTTCCACAGCATTAAAAGTAAAAAGTTGAAAAAAAAGATAAAGCAATAACATCTTCTTGGAGATAAGAAAGACAATGTATCTTTAAACATCAGAGCAGGACCAATACCAGGCAAAGCTAGGATCTAGACTAAAATGTTACTAGTGCCAAACATTTTTTCAAACACATTTTTCTCTGTAAGAAAGACAAGCTCTTTTATTGTGATATGGAGATTGCATTGCTGGTTTTGTGTTAATGATTATTTTGCAATAGATTGTGCAGCCTTAATTAAAAATAAATTAAAAATAAATTAAGTAAATATGAAATTACTCTTCCGGTATGTTACAGACCTTCAGCCAGAGGTTGTACCAGGAATACACGTGCTACACAGTGTTTTTTGTCAGTATAGAAATCTGCCAAATTGCAGACGTACTGATCAGGAAGACACGTCGTCTCTCCGTGTTCCAGCAGGGATTCTTCAGGTACAAAAATGATGCTCTGATACAGAGTCATTTGATTTTAAGATGACCATTGTCAGGAGTGTACTGTAACAGGACTTTGTATAATTTATGTTCTTACATTTGTTTAAGTGTCTTTAAGTGTTTAAGAGTCTTTAGCCATAATTTTGCCCATAATTTTGAATAATTGAAATGAATGACAGAAATGAAATGAAGACAGCTAATTTAGTCTGAATACCAATATAATAAAGTAAAATATATTGTATAATTGTAATAGTGTTGCTAGAAGCAGCAACAGGTTGGTCAAATAGATTTTCAGTCAGTAATTCATATTTTTATTCATAGAAACCGGGTTCTTGTAACAGCCATCGTCTTCCAGCTCTGTTTGGGAAACCTTCTCTGCTACTGCCCTGGGATGCCGAACATTTTCAACTTCATGCCAATCAGGTATAGTCCTCTAACCAAAACGCTGCTATTTTAAAACATAAAATAACTCATGTGTTTTTGTGTGTGCTCAGGGTACAATGGTGGTTTGTCCCTCTTCCATACGGTATTTTAATCTTCGTTTATGATGAGATCAGAAAGTTAGGAGTCAGAAGACATCCAGGAAGTAAGTTTGATATAAAACTTGACAACATTGTGTATATATTTCAGCACAAGTTAATCTAATGTTTGTTTTTAACAGGTTGGTGGGACCAGGAGTTATACTACTGAAAAATAAAACATAATTGCAAAGGCAGATACTATTAGAGGAATACAGACCAAAGAAGAATATGTTGTTGTAATTTAATGATAATAAATAAATTAATAATTTCCATTCAAACTCAAGTACAACAAATGGATTAGTGACAAACATCCACCCAGTCTGACTGAACAACGTTTAAAAGTGTATTTCCTGTCAAAAAACAGATTTGTCACTATCAATAAAAATGTCCTATATTGGTTGGTTGGTATTGTACTGAGAATTAAATAACTTGCAAAACAGAAGTCGTTTCTTCTTGTTCTTCCAAGTCCTAATAAAAGATGTAGTCTGCAAACAATTTTTATCCCCCTAAACTAAACAATCAATACCAACAGTAGAAATCAAGTTTACACTGAATTCAGTCAATTCATAATTCAGTTCAGTTTGACTCCAGATCTGGCCCATAAAGACGACATAATGATTTTAATGTTCAAAAATGAATCTAAATAGATTTTTTGGGACAATTGATCATTGTAGAGAGACTTCATTTTGTTTGTTGTGCGCATTTGTGCATACGGTACTTAGCTTCGCTTAGTTTTAAGTCCAGTCATGTAGTGTAGGTCTAGAGTCTTTTCAGAATCTAATGAAAAGCCACAGATGTCCATAGCTTCACTCGACTTTCCAGATTGCAATCTTGCCATCCCCCTTGGATGATCCGCTCAGCACATAGCGGTCCTCTGCAGAGCACAGGGTCTGGGTGCTGTCTGTGTGCGCCTGCAGCTCTTTGTCCACCTCATGTGTCTCTGAGTCCAGCACCATCACCTGGCCCCTCCCCTGACCGTCACCATCACCTCCACTGTCAGCACGGCACCCCACCCAGATCTGCAGAGGTCAAACACACGGGTTATGAATGTTTATGTTGATTCTGCAACGGAATACGAAGCATTCTAGAGAACCTGTTCTTTAACATTTTGATGGAACACAGCAGAGACATCCATGGTACAATCTGCTGATATAACTCAAAATGCAGGTTTATGTCTCTGTAATTGTTGGGCCTGCCCTCATGAAAAGCTAGAGCTATAGGTGTGATGGATGGAAGGATAGACGTGAAATTATTCAGACTTGATAATTTGTTATCTAGTATCCAGCCATAAGATTCACATTTTTATGGTTTCAAACTGCCTCAACAGTAAGAAATGAACAATTAACAATAAAAAAGAAAATATTATGTCACTTTTGGATTGTCAATAGTCCTCAACTGTCGCCTATAAACAGGAGGATGAAACCCATGAATAACACAATAACATGTATTTACAAATCCTCATCTAATTTAAACTGTACAAGCCTATTAAATGCTGTAATGACATTTAATCCAACATTAGAATAACATACAACATGACAAGTATAACACACACTGACCTGGTTCTTGACTTGGATCATACACTTGACCCCTGAACTTCCAGAGAGTGTGATTCTCTTTGAGGAGCGTCGGTTGTTTATACTAAAGACAAACAGGTCTCCAGAATCTGCACAGCCGGTCCACAACTGTCCCTGCTAAAATTAACACACAGATTACATTATATTAGATTACTTTATGTACACAGTCGGAGCATCACAAAGGTAAGAAAATATGAGTTGATTTATGCTTGATGCTTTTTTTAAACCCACTCTTTCTGATTGTACAGCTTTTAGCTTTTTAGTAAGTTGGTAGGTGGGAAAATAGCATATGGTACTTTGAAGTAGGGATGCACTGGTATGATACTGGTATCAGATATTGCTGCCAGTATTGACACTTTTGATGGATCCGTCCCAAGATATCCCATTTCGGGTTATAAATTAGTCTGGTAAGACAAGTTACTGGACAAAGTTGGCCCAAAACACAATATTTTCGTAAGTTATTCTGAATAAATATTTTAATTTTTTTTTTGTGATATGCTGTTTGTGTTTAAAGGAAATTAATTTTATTTTCAGTCTTTGCCCTCGTATCGCTTGATGCTGGGTATTAACAGATACTTACCAAAGTATTGACAGAACAGAAAAAGCTGCATTGGTGCATCCATTTTGAAGCTGTACAGTCTACTTGAACTAACTACTGAAATACCACTGCTTGTCCATATAATTGAGGATATGTATTATGAAACATTGTTTTCTCACCTCAAGCATCACAATGAAACAGCTGAAGTTAGAGCTCCGGACGTCATCAGGAAGTACAATCCTCCTTTGTGGAGTCCCACTCTTTTTCAGTTCAACAATACTGTCCACACAACCTACATGAAGCACAGAAAGCTTTCATTTTCTGATCATTACTAAAAGAACTGAATAAAACAGTTTAGTGATTCTCACCACACCACAGTGAGCCGTCATGGATCTGAATGGAGGAGAGTCTGGAGCAGCTCAGGTAAAACTGACGCTTCACTTTGAGGCTGAGAGAGTCCCAGAGCAGAATAGTGCCATCACAGCTGCATGAGTACGTCACCTGACTGAAGGAGAGAATCTTCACACCAGGATCTCAAAGGGGTCCAGAGGTAAAAGACAAGTGTGCAAATGCATAAAACCCCACTAACCACTGTGGGCTCTCAAAACTAAATTATTGCATCTAATATGTGGTTATGACTCAAATGTATAATGAAATTATTTTAAAGGTAATTAAACAGCTAAAGCCAGGGAGATGTTTTGGATAAAACTTTAGGTGTTATCTGCTATTAAGCTTTCAAACTATTAAATGTTTTAAATCTATGAGAAAAATGAAAAATCAGAGTGAGGTTTGTGGTGGGCAGGGCTGTTGTTTGAACATGATAATAGGTCGTGGCACTATGACTGCTTTATACCACATAAATATTCATCACTTATATTAGTTGTAACACCAGTGTAGATTATTTTGACATGACATTATATAAATGGCTCCTGGTGATTTATAATTTTCAGCTTTACTCAAAATATTGTATTGAGCTGTACCTTTTGTGCTCACGTGTGTCCACTGCGAGCCCAGTCACCTCGTGTCTGTGTTCAGTCAGCTGCTTGTTACATGACATACTGTGAGTGTCAATGATGTAGATCACAGAGTCCACAGAGCCGATCCACACCTGCTCCTGCACCAATCCCAGCATGCAATTCTGTAACACATAACCAGATACTATAGACAATCCCTTAATAATGTTGATTTACTTTTTATTATTGGGTGTATCCTTTAGTACAGCAGTTTTCAATAGGTGAGGTGGGCCTCCCTAGGGGAGGTGCGACACAGGAGGACTAAACCAGGACTGATCCCAGGTGTCTTTTCCTACTGTAAGAGGAGGCTCACATTCACCCAATTCGAAAACCCCTGCTTTAGTAGAAGGACTCATGTCGCTGCTGCTACCTGTTGCTTTGTCTTCGTACACAAATTGTAAAGATGTACATTTATTTAATCTTATATGGAGTAGTGTGTTTATTCATATAGTGTAATGCAGGTTTATTTGCTTGTTATGAATAAATAATGAATAATACAATTAGCAGATTTGAGTCAAAGCTATTTTCCATACAAAATGCCTCTTACCAGCTGTGACTCCCCCACCATAATACAGTCCTGCAGAATGGACCAGCTGGTGGCGTCGAACACAACCACCCGGCCTCCGCTCAAAGCCACCCACAGCTTAGGGTTCATCTCACTGCCAGAGTCACTGCACGTCAACTGGCCTGGAGGAACACACACATACAAGGACACGTCTTGGTATAGGGCTACAACAAGATTAATTATAATTATATAAAATTTTAATTTGAGGGGTCGCTATTTACAAATGACAAAAGCAGCAGTCATGTGGGTATTTAAATTCCCTGTGTTTCTAATGACCTTATGGTAAAACGTGCTACACGGGGACAAGTGTGAAGAAGCCTTAGTTTAGAAGACCATGTTTCAGTCTTCCCACAATTATTAATATTTCTGAATGTGTTCAAATGTGATTTTAATATATTAATTTAATAATAATTGTAATACTTCAGAGAAATCACAATTAGATCTTCCCAAAATGGTCCCTGATATGGTACTCTCCCACACTTTTTATTGTATTAATACTATTATTTCTGTCGTCATTACCACACAACATATTAAGCACAAGGGGACTCTGAAACTCTCTCTCCCTTCACATTAGAAACTCAGACTCACTAAACTTATTATTATTATTATTGTTGTTGTTATTATTGTTATTATTGTTAAGACTACAAAAATAGTTGTGTCTTGTGATAGCGTAAAAGTACAGAAGATACAGTGATTTACATTAAATAGAAAGACAAAGCCTGCGCTAAACATGAGGCACATGATCAGTGGTAGACATACACATTAAATTTAACACATATTTATAATTTAGCACAGTTATAATAGAGCTTAAAGGCTTGTCTCTATCTAGGACATATTGTTCTATTAAACTGTTCACGCTGATCCACTTTTTACACATAATGCATCTCTATTCAGTCTGATGATTAAAAAAACAGGGAGGCTGAAATGAATCAACCATCTTAGTTGTAATATCTGAGTTGTCTCCATAGAGGTAAATATACTTAATGCAAAGAGAGTAAAGCAGTTATATCTCCATAGAGGCGAGCAGGACAGACGCTTCACCTGAAAAGTTACAAACCAGTACACATGGTGTTTGTGTGTGGGTAATAATTATTGAATTAAACAATTAACATTTAAATATGACATGTTGATTTTGATTTGCCAAAGAGTATAGAGAACCTGGAGTATAGAGAAGCACGTGTACAGTCTGGGGCTCAGGGAGGTCCTGGGACGGGTTGATCTTATGTTTTAGAGTCTCGGAAGTCACTTTGGGAACCATCATAGGAACTAAAGAAAAATCAGTACAAATGTTAAAATGTAGTAATAAATTAAGTATAAAGGTTGTTGTATAAAGGCCAGAGGAATAATCTGCAGTACATTACCATCATGATAGAGTTTATCGAAATAGGCGAGTTTGGAGGCAGCAGAGATGGACTTCTGGGTTTGCAGGGAGCCGACCACAGCATCCATCAGCAGGACATTGGTCAGAGCTTGGTTCATGTACTGGGGATCCTACAAGTAAGGCAAACAAGACATGTAGTTTAATTACAAACTACAGGTCTCTGATTTCTATACTGTAACAAGTCTGTGTTGGACTGCCCCCTGCTTTGACTCTATGAAGTTGTTGCTTTGCATAGAACACCCCACAGTATGGAATTAAACTTACCAATGCATGTATTTATTTTTTGTGCTAAAAAATACCTCAATTACGGTTACCTTTCCACAGACCTGACCTGTAATTTGGTAATCTGCTTGTCTGCATGTATAAATGGGTTTATTGTATGTATATTTACAGTATGTAATGGTATATACCTTGTGTTGGTCGGCCATCTTGCGTCCTGTCCACATCTCCTTCACTATAAGGTTCCACAGCTCAGTCTCTGTTTTCAGATTGGCCTCGAACACCTCAGGTCTGCTGCTGCACTTTATACGGAGAGACGGGATCCGCAGGAGAAGGACCGGGGCAGAAGAAACCTTGACTTCCTGGAATTACAGTACACAACACTCAGCTCAATGTATGAGATTGCTTTGCCTACAATGTACCACAGTACGGCATTAAATTCATAGTAGTAGGCGATGCCACAAGGTCAAGTTAAGTTCTGTGAAGAGCTACTTGAATAAATACTAGATTGACAAATTTGCAAGTAATGTTGTGTTGCAGAATATTCCAGGTAAAGTAGAAGAGTTACATAGTGCAACTTTAAAGTGTACTTAACCAGTCTGAGTTCTCACTTTACTAAGTTGTTACTATTATACTTTAGATCTATTTTTATATTTTCTTCACAAACTGACACTAATTGATGTTATATTGACCACAAGTACAACAAAATCTGTCACACACACACAGAGCTGTTACCTGGATGTCTCTAAATTTGGTTATTTCCAGGAAGTTTGCTCGGCCCTCGGGCAACAGGAAAAGGCGTTTTTGTGTCATTGCAATTTTCCCAACTCCGTGCGATGTCTTCACACAGGACGAGAGCTTGTAGACACATTCACTGTTATCCAGCTGGTCTATCACATCTGAGGGCAGGTTCACATCTTGAGCTTCAGCTTCAGTTTCCTTCCAAAAAGTGTAAAAGTCTCGAAACAGATCAGGGTCCACGTGTTTAGATTGACCTAGACAGAAAATATCCATTACCGCTCGGCATAACAAACATCACTTGACCCAGCAGTTCTTTATGTAGATATTATTGTGTGCGACTAATGGACACAGACTATAGTGTCCTGTCACAGTCACAAAGTTAATAGTGTTAAGCCATGCATGATGTTGAACAAGAAGAGAAAAACAACATGAAAAGCAGAGTAAATGAATTCTGTTTTGTACCATCTGTGAGAGCACCGAACAAGCGGTGGATAGTGGCCACGTCTTTCACAATACCACACTCCTGGACACAGCGCACAAACTCCTCCAGACTGAGAGGCTTTCTGGGCAACTCAAATTTCTTCACATGGTCATTGCCAGGATTCAGAGTTTTCTCATTTTCAGTTTTTACCTAGAAACAAAGCAATTAAGGACATGAAAAAATATGCTTACTGCTATGCAATGGGGCTGTATGAATAATTTAACTTGAACCCAAATTGTAATTAAAGGTGCACTTTAGGGATGTAACAATATCCAAATCTCATGGTACGATATTTATTGTGATATTTTATGAAGGTTAACAAAATTGTGAATACGCTACTTTTTTCCTCTTAAAATGCCTTGATAAGACTTAATCCAAAGAACTAAGATGTAAAAGTGCTTAGAACTGTTATTTCTTCTTGTAGTTTGCACCAAAATGGAGCAAAGGATCATGGTCGATGTAGTTCCCTCTGCTGTTTTAGCTATTGCTGCGCCATAACAATGAATTTAAGCAAAGAAACTTGTGATTCGATATATTGTGATGGCCCACGAAATTATTGAGAGACTTTTGAGGATATCACGATATTTTGGTTACTGTTACACCCCTAGTGCACTTAGTAAGTTTTTGCCTCATGAAAATGTTATTGCTTACAGTATGACATTAATTTGATCTATCTTTAAGTAAAAATATTTTTAAATTGCCAAAATATACTTGTACTTATTGTAGTGAAACATTCCAGGCAAAACTATATCTCTATGGGAAAAAAAAAAAAAAGTTTCCTAAAATCATAAAACAGTGCCCCTTTAATACAATGTAATAATAATAGTATAACCAGTTACAACATTTTCTATTGAAACTAATCTGAAACTTAAAAACATATATAACCAACTTATCATGTAATTTGACATCTACAGACATTGCTCTGAAATGCATTGTGTCTAAGTCATTTAACATTTCAGTTTTTCTAGTAACAACAATGTTTCAAAACAACATGTTGAAACTGTGACCTAAAATCTTACTAAAGCAGATACTGGAAATCCAAACCCAATAATTGTAAAAAATAATAATCACTGACTTTGAGGATGAGTCGTTTGAGCTCTGGTCTCCGGTCGGCCTGCTGCCTCTCGTCGCGATGCAGCGAATCTACCAGCCATGTGACCAGAGGAGTGGGGAAGATGGCCGTGTCTGTTTTACACAGGCTCTGGAAATCACTCAGAGCATCCAAGCGCCGAGAGCACAGGGTGTTAATGAGGCCACGCAAATAGTAGAATCTGCAGGAGGGAAAACAATCATGATTTCTTTGTGTACTACTGTTACTACTACTAAAATTCTACTTTACTGCTTCTACTGGTACTAACTAAAACAAGTATTTTACTGCTACAACTAACTACAACAAGTATTTTAGGTAGTGTGACTGTAATACCTTGCCAGTAAAGCAGAGTTCTCATGTTGCACAGAGAAGATTGCCTTGTTGAGCTGTTGAATAATTTCCATGTAATAACTTTGGACAGAGTGGAAGGACAGGGAGGCTGGGAAATCTGGAAGCTTGAAAATCTTTGCAGGTTTAGGTGGTGTCTTAAATACTACTGGGAGACAGGATCATGACATTTTAGTAACGTTTTTATTGTAGATGTAATAGCAGAAGGACAAACCTAGGTCGGTGTTGATTTTGTGGAGCAGGTTGTTCCTCTGGAAGCTCTGGTGGTCGCTCAGGTTGGGCAGGCTCATGCCCTGTCTCTTCAGATGATGGTCTGACACAGAGCTCCTCCTACGAGCCTGGATCTCCTGCATGGTGGGTCTGCGAGGGAGCTCCACTTTGGCTTTCATCCTGAACACAAACAACCTCCTATATTAGATCAGATATACCAGTATACTGTCACAATATATACTTTACAAATGCAGTAAATGAGGTTAAATCACTTTTGTGTTTCTGAGCGTGTGCTGAGCTCCATGCGAGCAAAGCTGTCCATTTTCTTATTGAGACGATCTTTCAGGAAAGAATGGAAAATGTGTGTCTCCAACACCTATAAACAAACCACAGCTGTTTAAATTAACACTCTGTTCACAGTGTACAGACTGTGCTTATGAATACACTTGAGTGTGTTGTACCTTAGTGTAAAAAAGCTGCTCATTGGGCTCTCTTGTCTTCAGAAACTCTGCACTGTTGAACACTCTGTGTTCATAGTTAAGATGGCTGCAGACATCTCTGTTATGTGCGTAAAATATATAAAATCATTATAATTGTCTAACTTCATATTTGTCTGAGCCTGACAGAAAAGGCCAGACCTGAAAATGTTGACGATGAGCTCCAGAGTAATCTTCTGGATGTCGTGGTTGAGGTTTTGTTGCCAGGTGCGTCTCTGGGCTCTGTGTTCGTTAATGTCAGTCCAGCTCGGGCTGTGGCACTGGCTCAGGTCAAACTGAGTCTGTAATGACTGGCACCTGACAAACACAGACATATATGTATTTATGTTATTTATTCTCTGGTGGATTTCTGGTGTTTACCTCTGTGTGAAACACTCAGCTGCAGACTGGGGAATCTCAGGCAGATCCACCGTCTCAGAGGAGGACGTGGACACGCTTCCATTATCAAGGTTAATAAGCACCAGATCGTCGGTTTCCTGGGCAGAACAACAACTAAAACTTAAACCATTCAATAGTTTACATTACACTGTATATACAATATACAATTGTCAAATTAATATGCACAGATTGTGAAGTAACACTTGTAAGTTACCTACAGATGCAACTTCTTCAAAATGGCTGATGTGGCAGCCCATGAGGAAGGCTGTAGGAGCCATGAGGAAGTCCAGCATGCTCCGGGCCAGGACAGGGACATAGGGGTGCTGCCAGGACAAAGGCTGAGAGAAAGGCCATCAATCAAGGTTTTTATAAAATATGTACTTTAAATGTATTTATGTTTTCATGCATTGTCAATAGAACGCACCCAGAGAAAGAGCAGCAAACACTCTGCTACCAGAGTGAGACGAGCCCAATCTGCAGAGAATAGCACCACACGCTGCTCCTGCAGCAGACAGGACAGCACCTGCACACAAGGGTCAACATCAGACTGATCAGAGTATATGAGATAATACGTGTGACAGTACCTGTAGTAACTGGTGTGGGGTGAAGCAGAGCAGCGGCAGGTGCAGCTGCAGGTCTACAGTAGGGCTGTCCCTGTCCTCACCTGACGGCAGAGTGATCGTCAAAGGTCTGAGAGAAAACATCTGCAACAAAAGCTTCTGTTAAACATAATATCACATAAACACTGTGGACTGTTCATTTGTGAACCTCACCAAATGTAAGTGTCCAGGAGGGGGCGCTGGCACCAAAGCCAGTTTAGCTGCAAACTCCTTAACCCTGTCCTCCAGGTCTGACACACGACAGGACCTCAGCTGAGGTAAGAAACTGAACACAAGAGGACAAAGCTTAAAAACTTATTTTCTCCTACTAACTGGACATGATCTAATGTAGATGTCATTGAGTGTCTCACCACGATAAACTGTCCTTCAGGGCTGTGAAGAAGGGATACTTGGATATGACACAGAAACTAAAGGCAGAGAACACCTTTGGACAGACAGATCCATTTTGATTTGGATATTGTGACAAGTCATCCTGAAGGAAGACACATATTTAAGTATACTGTAATATTACTATTATGAATTATTTGAAGAGAAATGTTGAGTACCACTACAGCTTTGTAACACTGCATGACAACACTAAAGGTTTTGTTCCCAAAAACATCTGTAAACACTAAAAAGTGAAACTGCTCTTCTCTTGGTTCACTCATTACTTGAAGACCATCTGTAAAAGCAATATGGATATAATTATTATTACATTATTATATGAACAATAGGCACTCTGGACCTAACCATCTTCTTTATAATAAACATAATCATACCAGGGAAGCAGAGCTGAGGTAAAGCCACGAGGTCTATGTCTTTGGGAACAGTAACATCATCACTTCCTCTTTGCTCCGCTCCTGTCCGACCTAAATAGCATGACAACAAGTGCATTTTATTTCTAGATTATTATAGAAATATAGGGTGCATTCCTGCTTGAGTGTAGAATTGGATATAGTCATAATTTGAAATGGAGGACATGGGTGTGTATAACTCCATGGGAGACTTACTGCTATTAGAAAAATATCCAAATTGTCATATGTTGAACTTTATCACTATATGTTAGGGACTGGCTCCACAAACTTGCCATTTTAATTTTATGGCTTATAGTCTTAAACGAACACAACTTTGGTGTGTTCGTTTAAGACTTTGGACAAATGGTATATCTTTCTGAAGCCATTGTGGAAAGGGGTGTATTAGATATTAAATATTGACCAATGTCAAATGAACACAGTGTATCCATGGGTTTAAGAATGATGAACAAATAGGTCTGTGGCTATAGGAATCAAAAAGTCCTCAAAGTGCTGAGTATAACAAGAGGCTGAAAACCATGAATTTAAAAGTGCCTTGAGATCTAATACTGTATTAGTGTTTATGGTCCACCTTGAGCAGTAGCAGCAGTAATAGAGGACAGGTGCTCTCTCTTCTTGCGTATGAAGGACCTCCTCCTGCGGCCGTGGGAGCGCACCAGCTCAGAGTCTGTGTGCAGTTTACTTACAAAGGGAGGGGCCAGGACATGCAGCACCTCCGGCTCCAGCGTCACAGGGACCCCATTACTGACAGGGCTCTGCTGCCAGCTCTGTGGAGACAACACAATTATTACTATCAATAGTTACAACTGTGTGAAAAAATATATATATTAAAGTTGCAATATGTAACTTTTCTGGTGAAGGGTATGCCTGGAATGTCCTACAGTATGATATTAAACTTATCATTATTGAGCAGCCCTATGAAGCCATGTGGCTCCCACAGCTCCGGACAGGCTGCCCCAGCGGTACTAAAGATGGGTCAGACACAGAAGACAAATTTGGGTCAGCTAAAGAGGACAGATTTCCCAACCTTAACATGTATATTTTGCTTGAGAATAACATTACACCTGTAATGGTATATTCGGCACGGTAAGGCACATTTAATTGTCCTCACAGGACAATTTATCCTCCACATTGGTACCATCTTTGGGGTAAGCTGTCAGGAGCAGTGGGGACAGATCTTGAGTTAAGCTTGGTCAGGATCCCTTTTGCAGGACAATTTTACCTACTGTGAATAATTTAGGTTGATGGGGAAACCAGAATACTAGGAGGAAAGCCACTCCAGCATGGAGAGAAAAATGCAAACTGCACACAAAAAGGCCTGAGCAGCCTGCAAGTAGCCTAGGAGCAGCCTGGGAGTCAAACTTAAAACCTTCTTGCTGTGAGGCGTGAGTGCTATCATTGCTGGCCAACTGTGGCACCTGGTATTCCTGGTGGTCTCCCATCCAAACTAGGCCCAACCCTGTTTTCCTTTCAATATCAGATAAGAATGGGCACAAGTATGACACAGCAGGGTGCAGGTGTTGATTTGAGACTTACCTGGTAGAGTTCTCGTAGTTTCTCACTGGAGGCTCCGACCACCACACAGGCCTCAAGCAGAGCAGCAGGCAGGTGTTCACCCATCCCTCACAAAAACGCCAACTAAACTAAACAAACAGAATAAATGCCCATCAATATGAGGTTGTATTCCTGTGGGTATCTTTGTGTTAGTTAGAGGTGTATTATGTGCCTCTTATGTAGTGGAGGTTCCTACAGTACATGCTTTGTGTCTATGAAGATGTTACTGCTTTGCCTAAAATGTTCAACAATATGGTATTAATCTTATCTACCCCCATGGAGACAAGCAGGTCACACCACCAGTTTAGTTGCAAAACAGTTTCTTAATGCCAACCTTTCAGGCAAGTAGTTTCATCCTTATGGACAAACAAGCAGGTGTACTTTTCAACAGAAATTTAACATATTGTACCGTAAAACAGAATCAGAACAAGCAGATTTTTGCTACAGTGCCCCATTACTAAGTGTGACAGAGAGGATGTTTCAGCTGATTCTTGCTGCTGTTACTGGCAAAAAATATCCTCTGCAGACAAAGTGATATGATATATTTTGTTGTAGTGTATTCTCTACTCCCTTATTTGTCCATGTGACCATCTGGAAGTGGGTTGGAAGTACCCAGTTGTTTCCACTGAAATTTGTTTTGTTACGTGGGAAACAATAGCTTAATGTGCTTCTAGACAGTTATTTATATATCCTGCAGAAGAGGAGTATGTGAGGAGAGCATATGTTCTGTCGGCTGATTGTGGGTAGGAGGATGCGACATGATCCTTTACAGAACCATCATATGATCTTTGAAAAAAAAAAAAAAGGAAAATTCCACATTATACCATATCACTCACTCTGGCCAGGGTTACAACATTCCTTCAACTGCATACACTTTCACAGATAAACAAGAGGGCATATGCAATAAGTATTTCACCTTAATTCCAAATTTACCGTTATCAAAAACTTTACTTTACTTAAAAGGTGCACTGTGTGACTTTTCTGTGGGGTCCGCCACTTGCTTATCACCCCTCACTGTGAGTGGCCTCATCTCTCCACAGATCTGACCTGTAACTTGACCTGGTTGGTTAATCTGTTTTTTTGATTGTTTTGCTTTTGGTTTGGTTTGGTTTTATTTTTTATTTTTCATTGAGATAAATAAGGTTAAGGCCATAATGTGGAGCATTCAAGGCAAAACAACATTTAGGCAACTTATACAAACTTCATTGATCCACAAGGGAAATTATTTGATAATAATATTAATTAAATAATTTCCCTTGTGAATCAATAAAGTTTGTCTAGATTTTCATAGAAAGAAGCAGGTGGACTTACTTTGTGCATCTTTACTTTTGTTTTCCTTCTGATGCTGATAATGAGGATAATGTTACTCAGTCAGAGCAACATCTCAAGACACTGTCTCTAATATATTTCTTAACAGCATGTTACTTACACTGTCACTCAAAGTGCAATAGTTTTTTTACAAACAGAGCCTTGATCGTCAGACCTGCAGTTGTGTCAGGTGATCACAAGTCACATGCTGCAGGTGAAAACCAAACGCGTCTCTTTTTCTCTTACCTTTACACAGTCCTCCGTCCTGTTGTGAAGAGGTGTTGGTTCAGAAACACGGAGGGTGGGTGGGAGGTAGAGTCCTGCGCTTCCCTCATTTGAAAGAATGCCCCTCTGTGCGCTCTCTCCTCTCTCATGCTTTTTAATCTAGCCCTGCTTCCGGGTCCTGCTGCCGCAGATCTAAACATGCGCACTCACAAACGAAGCGCAACGAGCGTGGATAAAGAATTTGAAGTAGTTATGATGCTCTGGACGGGGGTTTCCTTGATATGTCTATCAAAATACAATGTAATGTCTAGAACTTACCGGAAGATGGCGCTGACTAACCTTGAGTCACACCTAAATTAATGCAGTAGAAATACAAACTCCACAACACATACGAACAGATTTTTGTTTTAATAGATCACGTGTATTAATTTTGCCTTTGCAAAAGTGTATAAAATATGTTAAGTTGTCCTGTAGCTTAGACTCAATAATGGTACACGATTAAAAATGCACTATGTAACTTTTCTGGTGTAGGGTCTCCATTCAAGTTATTGCTTTGCCAAATATGTTTCAAAGCATTGCATCACACTTGTGCATTTCCATGGAGCCAAGAAGAGCCAAGTCACAGGTCATGTCTGTGGAGAGGTGATCTCGCTCACAGTAAGAAAGCATTTTTCAATGCATTTTCTTTTAACAGAGAAAACAACGATAAATGTAATTCCATATTTTGTGACTTTTATGACGACTGATGGAGACAAGCAGGTGACAAACTCCCCCTCCAGAAATGATACATGATGCATATTTAAATGAGATTATGATTTTTATCATCTTTATATTGGTACAAAAAGTTTAGATAAATATGCAGTATAAAAACTCAAATGTAATGTTTTCATCAATGTTTTGTAAAGTGCAAACATAAACAGTTTCATTGGCAAATGTATGAGAAGTCTGCTCAGTCCTGCTAATGTGAAAAAAAAATATCTACCAAATAAGGTCATAAACACACTGCAGACAAAAGGCAATAATGTGGAGTCATATTAGGAGGAAAATTGTTGCAGTTATCTACAACAAAGACACTGAAAACTGATGTACTAATGACTCCACTTTACTGCCTTATAAGTGGAGTTATATATATATATATACCCAGCATTTAATCCTTACAGCCTGATTACATATGCGCACCTCAAGTATGTCACAAACAGTGTCCAACCAAAACAATTTGAATATTTCATCTCAAATACAAATTGTTCTATGTTGTTCTATGTCAATTGTTCTACTATGAGCCCTTGTGTTCAGTTGATCTTTAAAAAAATGTTCAGTAGAAACACTTAAGCAGCAGTCTCTTCACTCTGTGTTTTGTATGCACCTTCATGATTTGTGAGATTCAGCAACGCCAGTCTTTTATTTTGTTCTCCATTTTGGTCCTTCTCTATAGACGCTTCCTTGTTCTGCTCTGAACTGCTGGGCTCCACATCGGGATAAATAACAAGGAAACAGGCTGTGAGAAAGCCCAGGAAAGAGCCCCCAGAGGCCACTACAGGAATGACACGTACAGAGCCCACAGCGTCTACCACTGCCCCCAGCGCCGAGGCAACCAGGATCTGACTGATATAAACCTACACAAACAAGCATGGAGTTAGAGGTGGAATTAGAAATAGTGCTTTTGAATATGTACACATTTTTATATCAATAAAGCACAACTTTTCTAGTGGAGGGTCAGCTAACCACTTGTCTTTGTGGAAATGTCATTTCTCTGCCTGGAAAGTTCTACAAAATGGCATTAAGCTCATGTACCTCTGTAGAGACAAGCAGAAGAGACTACAAAGTGAATTACAGGCCAGAGTTGTGAAGAGGCAACCTTTCTCACAGTAATAATGGACATATTCAAGCACATCTGTAATTAACCAGACAACTGCCAAATAGAAGAGTTTAATGCCATACTGTGAAACATTTTGAGGAAAAGTAAAAATTAATGTGGCAAACCCTCCACCAGTAAAGTTATAAATCAGTAAGCCTATGAATAAAGCAGGGTGTTTTAAGTTAAAATATAACCACTTACTTGGCAGGATAAGATGGCACAGTCAATTCCAAAGCCTCTTCTTGTGTTGGCTGGGCTGTGGTAAATGTACTGGAAAAACAAACAAACCACATAGTTAGTAAATAAAACATGCCATTGATGGACATATGAATGCATTTTGGTACTTACTTCTTTGATTTCATGGTACTGCCCCAGTAATGCATAGGGGCAATAGGAGATACTCATGGAGATCACACCCATACTACTGATCATCACCATGGCCACGTAAACGTTAGGGAAGATGGCCATCACCGCCGTTCCTGTGGAAGCGAAGACGTTTTGAGGGTCTATTTAACAGGTTTTGATCTGGTAATGAAGTTATTTAAAGTATTTTTAATGTTGCCCACTGACCTACTGAGAAAGAAAGAGTCCCAACAATGTAGATAATCTTAACACTCAGGTCAAAATGATCAAGGTACTTCTGAAGGATTGCTGGAAAACAGTGAATGCAAACAGAGACATTTGAGTTAACAAGAGTTGGGCGAAGTTCGATCAATCAGGTCTATTATTTGTGTCTAGTAATAAAAAAAACTAACTGTAAACAAAAGAAGGATACCCATAGATTTCAGGATGATGAAAAATTAGGACTATTGCTGAAGAAATTAACAATTTAAAACAAAATATTATATCTTCTGAATGGGAAAAAGTCCTCAAAATGTCACCAATATCAAGAAGCGGAAACTCATCATGAATAGGAGATTTGTACACTTTTGTCATTAATTCTACAGTCCATTCATTTCTGTATAATGTTTGTCTGATTAGAATGATTAGAATATAAAAAAATGATATTATTTTTTTGTCAGTATCACCCTCTTGGAATACTATTTTTTATTTTAGTTTTAGTTTTTTTATACCTGAACAAATTGCAGAAGTGGCAGCATATACAACCAAACCCCAGCAGCCCATCTGGACTCCACTGAGATAATTCTGTTGCTCTGTGGAATTGGCCGGTGCCTGAAAACAAACTACATTTAAACTCTTTCATTTCTACGCAAACGTGTGTCTTTATTGACTGTAAAGATGTCCACATGTTTATTTGTGGCAGATCTTACTATGGGGTCTCCCTGAAAGATGACTTGTCCCATGAAGTCTGTAAAGAAAACAGCTTGGGCAATATAAGCAAACCATGTGAGCAGATGACAGATACACAGCCTCCACAGCTGCGTCGGCATCTGAAAACACAGAAGACAAACGTGAGAGAATAGAAACATAGACTGTACTATAAGTTCAAGTTAGGTCGATATGTGGCAATTCATATTTTGTCGTAACATCTGTAAGGGCCTACATTAAAATTGAGAAGGAAGGCAGTTCAAAAGTCTGTGGTAGAAGTTCCTGCTAATTATCTTTAAAATTACTGATTCTATCTAAATGAAAAAAGTTTTTCTCTGTCTGCTAGTGGTCAGTAATACATTCTAGTTACATATCTGCACTTTTGTGGTTTATATTTAAAATTAATTCACTTTTATACTGATACTTGGACCTCAACTAATAGATTTAATGGAAATATATTAGTGCTACATTAACGGAGAGCAAAAACTATTATCTGATTGTCATCACTGAGATAATAAAAAAATTAAAAAAAAGACTGGTGATGTCCTATTCCACAGATTCATTTTTAATTGTAGGGACTAGAAATAGCATTATCACACCATATTATTAAAGTTTGTGGACCAAAATTGTGACCTAAAAATATTTCCACATTGTTTGTTTTTTTTTATTCAAGGATTTGTCATAAATTCTGTCTCTCGCATGGTGACATTACTCCCTCTCCTCCTTCCTCTCCTAACCTATATCTATGTATTACCTTGAGCATGGACAGCCACAGCAGGCGTAAGGTCGTCTCCTCCTCATCTTCGGACACAGTGCTGGACTCTTCTGAGGAGAGACTGCTCATGGAGAACTTCCTCTCTCTCTCCTGCACTTCTTTCTGGAGCTCTGAGAGGTCGCTCAGACTGCGGGATGAGGTGATTCGCTTTGGACTTAAAGGCGCGGCTGTGTTTCTTTTCAGTCTGTACCGTTGTGATCCCACGCGTCCATAGTAGGAGAAAGTGAATGAAGGCTAGAGAAAACAATAATGCTTTTATTATAGTTGTTATCATCTATACTACTTCAGAAATTGTTTAAAAACAAAGCTGTACCTGTCTGTAGAAGGTGGGTCTACGTGTTGAGAGACGAGTTCCTAGTTTAGGAGAACCCACGCTTTTTCGAAGGTGTGGTGATGACAAACCGTTACTGGAACAATTTGCTGCTTTTACCTGAAATCAATGAATATATAATACAAACTGGTCATGTAGAATATTACAATCACAGTATAGTGCTAGACCAAGTGCCCATTCAAATGTTTTTTTTCGGGAGCTGATACTAGTAGCAACTCATTTTTTTACTTCCACAAAAACATAATCTATTAGGGAAAAAAAATGTACTTGTTTAATATTTCCCTTCATGGTACTAAAAAAATACACATGATGGAATACTGAGCCCTAAACAATCTTATATAGTAATTATTGTGAGAGGTCTGCCATCTTATTCACTGCACTTCTCACTTTTCAGGTTTTGCATTTGTATTGTATTCAGGAACCTACCAGTGATTTACTCTCTGTGGGGACAGTCTGAAAGTGCTGGTTGCAGGCAGATCCATTCATGGAATCATTGTTACAGGTTATTGGCACATGAAGCAAGGAGATGTCACTGTTCCCCTCAGTGGGACTAAAAACATCTTCGAGGTCTTCGTGCACTTCTGGTAAAAGGTCCACCTCTGCCAGGAAGTGCTGATTGTCTGGATGGAGATCAGGATCCATCTCGATTGTAGCATCAGGCATGGCTAAAACCGAATCACTTTTACTCCGCACTCTCTCCATGCCAAGCAAGTCCATGTCCTCTTTGTCAGAATCTGAGCTGTCGTCTGAGCTTGAATCTTCTTCCATGATGACATCAAGCATAGGTGCAGTGTGGTCTACTGTCTTAAGAGATGACTGTGAGGTAGAATCAGGATTTTGTGAGACTCCAGGCTGTCGTGGAGAGTAGGGCTTCTCTGGAATACTGAACATGTGTAGAATGACTGATACGATAAAGACTACAGCTGTGAACAAGAACAGGACCTGCTCCTGGGCTTTGAAGGCCTGACCCAGAGCTGTGCCTGTCCAATCCAGACCTCCCAGCATGTAGCCCACAGCTCCACCAAGTCCTGGGCACACAGAAAAGTACATATATGAGTAATATTATGTGAAGAACTTTTTGGTCAACTACAGACATGTCCTGTGCATAAATTAGCCAACTAAAAGGAGGTGTGACCTGGCAATAGAGAAAACTAAAAGGATCTCTATGATCAGATGATGTGTCCGACCAAAACGCAAAAACAGCTAAAGTATATATCACAAGAACTAGTAACAACATTTTCTTAGCAGACTTGGAGAAACTTATCCATGCGTTTGACTCCAGTAGGTTAGACTACTGTAATGGTCTGCTCACTGGCCTCTCCAAACGAGCTGTGAGACGCTGCAGAACATCCAGAACGCTGCAGCTCGGGTCCTTACTCGAACTAGGTCCTGTGCTCAGGTCTCTGCACTGGCTTCCTGTGCCTCAGAGAATAGACTTTAAAGCAGCTCTGCTTGTGTACAAGTCTCTCCATGGCCGAGCACCAAAGTACATCTGTGACATGTTAATGTCATATGAACTAGAGCCCGACCGATATATCGGCTGGCCGATATTATCGGCCGATATGGGCACCTGGAGATATATCAGTTATCGGCCGATATGCTTGCTGATATGGGCCGATATTTCACGTGGGCATGTTATACCTCTCTACATTATGTTCATTTAATCCAATTTACAGACAGATGAATGTCCTAATATGTGACTCCTCATCAGTATTTATCTGCGGTGTAATTTGTCTGTGTCCGTACTGTCCCTGAACACACCCCCAGAGTCACGTCACTTCACTCACGTGTGTTTGTTTACACCCGCAGCGGTGCGCAACATTGAGATTATTTTCTTTTTAAGGACAATCGGTTTGAGTCTGGATTAAAAGGACATTTGTTAGTGCAGATTTGTGATGTGAGGAGGAGCCTGTGTGAGCGGTGAGTGTTGGAAATACATCGACTTTGAAGCTAGTTTAGGTTTTGTTAGCGGTTAGCTGCTGTAGCTCCCGCACATAAACAGGCTGTTTTCTATTGGCCTATTGTAAAGTGACTATATTGGCTGTATATTTGTTACTGGACCTGCATTGATATGTAAATGAGCTGTGAATAGACGTGTGAATGATCCACATTTATGCATATAATTAACTACCGCGGTGCGCACGTTTTTACGGCTAAAGGCTAATAGCGGTAGTTTATTTACTAGCTAGGAGTTATGGGTCGGTCGCGATCGAAGCGGCTCTTTGAAGCGAACAATGGGAGCATGTTTCTTATTGGGAGCCGTGTTTTCTCTTTTTCTCACTTTTTCTCTTCAAGCCGCATGTAGACCAGTAGTTTGACAGCAGCAGCGGCTGAAAACGAAACTTTCAGAAATCTGCGTGTGCATAGGAAAAAAAAATAAGTGCATATTTGGCTGCAGTTCAGCATAAAATTAATAAACCAGGACTAATCTTGGGCTCGAGTGAGGGAGAAACCGAGTCTCGACACTCAGTCCTGGTTCAGTTCTGGTTTAGTCCTGCTTGCAACAAAACAATCTCAAGAGTCGCTTGGGAGCCGAAAGAGCCAGCTGCTTTAGTGAGGCGAGCCAAACCGGTTCTCCAAAAAAAAAAAAAAAAAAAAAAAAAAAAAAAACTGGAATACCCATCATTAGTAGCTAGAATATGATGCAAAAATGCCATTAGGCCAATCTACTGTCTGTAAATATGATGTAAAGAGTCAAAATAACAATAAATGTTGCCTAAATAAACCCAATTTAGAATCCAAACCTATTTTTTTTAATCAATTCAAGATTTACAGTAAATTTTTACATCACTAAATATATCGGCGATTATATCGGCTATCGGCAGCTCCAACTCCCATTATATCGGTTTCATATCAGCCACAGCAAAATCCATATCGGTCGGGCTCTAATATGAACCATCTCGCACTCTGAGGAGCTCAGGGACCGGCCTCCTGCTGGTGCCCAGAGTCAGAACTAAACAAGGGGAGTCAGCGTTTCAGGTTCATGCAGCTAAAACCTGGAACAGTCTTCCTGAACATGTGAGACAGGCCTCTTCCTTGACGCTGTTTAAATCCAGGCTCAAAACATTTCTGTTTAACTGTGCATATAACTGATAAGTTTTCATTCCGCACTCTTCTCTCCAATTTATGTCTCTCTTTTTTAATTTTAATCTTCATGATTATTTATGTTTTGATTTGTTTTTATTATGATTTTAATGTATTTCTTATTCTGTAAAGCACTTTGAATTACTTTGTGTACGAATTGTGCTGTACAAATAAACTTGCCTTGCCTTGCCTTATGTAAAAAGGCTCAGAAAATTCCAACTAACTCAGACCATGCCTTCTCCTTTCTTTGAGGGCCCACAGAATATAAATAGTTGACAAATAAAAATGTTGGTTGTCATAGATATCATTGGAAGGTTAATCAATGAAACTACGTAAAGCCGACAGTCCTAGAAATGTTTAATAATATCTCTCTTACAATATAGCTTTATGTCATTTTATTTTCTAATTTTTTGTGATGATATCAGAAAACAAACATTAAATCAAGCAATCTCAGAAATATTGGCCATATAGATTATGTACATTTTCATTACCACACACTCACTCTGAGCCTCCCTCTAGAACCTCCCTTTTGGTGAACATCAAAACAAAACAAAAAAGAGAATACAACTACAACAAAACATAGAAAATTATAGTGCTTTATACTTACCGGCAGAAAATGCATGGATATTCAGGGCCATATCTTGTTCCTCTGTATCTGCTACATCCAGAAGGTAAGCTCTGATCGGTCCATCAGCAGCATCAGCACTAAAGTCCAGCACTATGACCCCTACGACGGTCAGCGCTATTCCAATGGGCTGGCTGCCTGCAGTATCGCCCACAGAGAGACCTGAAAGACAACAAACATTCATCTTAAATATTTCACGTATGTTAATATTTTATATGAAGTATGGTTCATTTAATACTATGTGTTTTTGTATAGCCCAAAATCACCAAAGCAGTCATCTCGCTGGGATTTACAAAACTGTTGATTTAACCAATAAAAAGTTAGAAGATCATTTGTCAGTCATGTGTCAAATAAAGGTTATTCAGTCCTGATGTAGACTCAGATTGGTCCTGTTTTAATCCTGGTCCAATCCTGCTCTGGTCCAGGTGTAGTTGCGGATATAGTCCAAGTCTAGATCCAATTTTGAGTGTGTGAAAGTATCCATAGAGTAATACTGATTATGTAGTGCTATATTTACCTATCAGAGCTCCATTTAAGAACAGAGCCACTCCCAGCAGCACCCCCACACACAGGGCCAGTATGAAGGGTCGCCTGCGCCCCCATCTCAGCGTGCAGCGGTCACTGGTGGAGCCAATCACAGGAGTGAAGAAGAGACCTAGGACTGGACTGAGGAACCAGGTCAGACTGTAGTACTGCTCGGGCAGACCTGCACACAGGACAAATCACAAAAACAGTTACGTACAGAGTGAAGTGAGTGAGTTCATAACCATATTTTAATTTAGGTTTATGCATTTATTTTGCTTACTAGTTAGTAGAGTTGTCACGATAACATTTCAAACTCAATACAAAGGAATAGACCCCTTACTCAATACCAATTTTGATACCACAGTGACTAAAGAGCACTTTTTGTTTACACAATAGAATGTGATTTTTTTATATTACCATGTGGTTATATGTCTGTGTAATCCCTCAGTCATCCATCCCTGTCTATGTGCTCTTATACTTGTACTCTTATCAGCTCAAGATCATTCTAAAAGCTATTCAGGAAAGGATTATTTCTGTCCTGTGAATGTGACTTTTTAAATATCAATACTTGCTCAAATGAGTGTCTAGCACTGGACTGAGCAATATGGTGATAAAAATCTACATTTTATTTATTCCTCTGACAATATACTAATTTGGTAAAACTGACATATTGTAATTCCAAGGTTTTCTCCCTGCTTGTAAGTGGTGACAGGTGGATTTAACCAATTGCAATGTGTGAACTTTGATAAGATGCAGAAGACCTCAAGGCAATAAAGATAAGTTTAAGTTTACATAAATCATGATAAAATAGAAATTGTGATCTAGTTCCAAGATAAATGTGATTATTCTTTTAGGATATTGCCCAAAGGTTACAGGCATTACTGCTTATAACACAATAATAAATCGCACAGAAAAACAAATATGTGAAATCGGAAAGGAAATGGTGAAACTTCCTCTCAGTGCCCTGTCAAAACATGCAGCCAATCTTGCTTTTTAAAATAGGAAGCGTATCTAGAGTGAGAAAACCAAACTCCCAAACCAGTCTGCAGAGTATTTTTGTCAAAGGACTCCGAGGAGGTACAGAGTCTAAAATCAGACATTGTTTGGACATTAGACAGCAGTGAGAAGTCTCGTAAATTAAAATCTGACAGACATGGCGGGTTCTCACGGGAAAATAAGAACCATGTTGCCCTGGGACAGCAACTAGAGCTCTTCCACTCCCTCCTCTTACACAAAAGGGAATATGTGTATCTATAATGACGTGAGGATGTTATATTAATGGGGCTCTGCATAGGTGTCCACTCACTGACACTGTAATCAAAACACAACATATTTAAATCTGTAGTCTGTATTGAGGCATGAAGGAATGTGCTGTGTGAGGCATTCTTGTCATACCTAAAGAGGAAAAATGCTTTTGTTGTGTTTGTGCTTTGGTGGCAAACTTGACATCAAGCTGCACTGCCCCAGGGTTACTACTACTGCAGCACAGAGAGGGCTTTCAGAGAGCTAGTACTGAGATCACAGTCAACTTACATTATAGGGCTCTCTTTGTCACAGTTTAAACTCAGGGCGATTGAAAATGAACTTGTTCAAATGATGAATAACCTAACCAGACTCAGAACTCACATAGATGGTCAATGAAAGTATAAATAGAAACCATTAAACCATCAACTAAAATGCAAATTCACTGTTTACCTGCTAGAAATCTGAGTATAATGGTATAATGTTTGCAAGGACGTTTACACACCATCATCACAAAATTCTATAGGCCTCTAATATTTCCCTAGGCTCCATATATTACACGAAATTGACTCCTGTGAGCTTTAAGCCATGTTATACTGTCACCTCCTCAAAAACATACCTAGAGTTGTGTTTTGTTTCATTCGAACATGTTTAAGTAATCCTTTATTATTAGTCTATCTACAATGCCAAAGCTCAAAATGTCAAAATGCTCAGTTAACGCCTACCTTTTACCTTTGGTTCAGTAGAGAATAACATTCCAGGGCCTGAAATCATCCAAATTATTTTAGTGAAGGTGTGCGGAGTTTAAAAACACAGTGGAGCACTTCCTGTAATATCACATGACATCACAACATTTTCTGTTTGAGAGAAGAACTCAGCCTTAATTTGTAGCGTTTGAGTGTTAAACGTGTGAATGAAACAAAACACCACTCCAGGCATATTTGTGATGAGGAAACAACACTATAATGGCATAATAAGGGCCCTTTAATCCATTTTAATTTGCAGGTTCATGTTGCAGTTAGCAATGTCAAGATTATTCAGCTTGATTTCACCGACTAGTTGACCTACAAGACAGTGTAAATGAAAGTGAATGAGGAATTCCGCTGTTGTCTGGCTGTGGTGTCATTAATGGTGAATAATTGAAAAACTGTGATTATTTTTTTTTTCACTAAAATTGTATAATGTGACTAGGGACAAGGGACTATTATTATATCTATTGCAATAAAGCAAGTCAAGAGCCTAATCATGAGAATAAATAAGGTTCTATGTGTATTTTCCTTTTCAATAAACCCTATAGAAATACACTGTAAACATTAGGGTCATCTTTTATATGTTATATTTATATTTTATTGTTTATTTATATTTTTGTGTATTTTGTATTCCTCCACATGTCCTTACCAATGCGTAACAGTACTGGAGTCACAAGGGCTGTTTCCATGGCGTAGCAAAACTCACGTCCAAACATGACTGCCCCGTTCATGACCCAGCGGTGCCGTGGGATGACCGGCCGCCTCTGCACCTCGACCTCTTCATTCTCTCTGATTTCTGTGGTCGCTTTGAGCTCCCTCTTTTTCTCCAGAAGGTCCATCTCTGCAGTCTCACCACCCATTTCAGTCTTACCAAATTGCAATAACAATACTTGTTAAATGCAAGAAAAATATATTATAAAGTCAATGGTTTCATTACTCTTTGAATTGTCCAATATATCCATTGTTTGGTCATAAAGCATATATTTGTTTTGCACACAAGTGGCATCCGCATAACTTCAGCAACTCAGACACAAAGTTATATATTTTCCTCCGTAGAAAATCCCATGGTCGCTGAAAAGAAGACAGGCAGCTCTGAAGCAAACAGCAGTCCGAATGCAGTAGCCATCAGCAGTGAGGTAGCAGCAGGATTCTTGTACATTTGACTTGGAGAAGTGGAGGTTAATGATACATACTGTCTGTGTTTGCTTTGGGCCTTGTCATGCACCAGTGAGTTTACAGGCATTCAGTTTTTGGATTGTGTCCTGAGTTTTCAAGGTGGAACAATGCAGGGTCAGAGCTTTTGAAAAGAAGTAACCTGGGAAGGATAAGTGGAAAAATACATGAATAAAACAATACACACAGTGAACACCATAATTATTAGCATGAATTAGTATTAGTATTTGTCTAAACTGTGTAATTGTTAAGGTCAAATTCCGCAGTGTTCCCATGTGTATTTGAGACAGCATTCCCACAAAAGGAAAAGTACCAAGCCCTAAATAAGGATTCAGTCATGCAACCAGATGTTACTCACGCAGATATCAAAGAAAACGCGGTGTATGCTGTTGCATAATCTGTAAACATTACCTTTGTTCCCAAACGCTGACGCGCCCTAAAGCGTGTAAACATATACGGAAACTGGCACCAACAATTACAAGTAGATAATTAATACAGTGTGATTAGGTATACTCACAATAAGATCAGCATACAGCTTCTGGAGGTCAAATGAACATATCCTTTGCACTGTCTTAAGCGTTTAATCACTCACCAAGTTTCCACCATGCGCCAGTCAGAGCAAAGGCAGCGCGTTAAAGTTAATGTTTACGCAATTGACGCAAATAAACTTTATATGCTCGAGTTTTAGAGCGATTAGCAAGGTACTCTGTGCAATATCCGTCATCTTAGACAAGTGTTGTCTTGCAAAACAGCCCAGGCAGGAATTTTAGCTGGGGGCGCTTCAGTCCTGTCACAACATGACGAGAAACGCTAAGGTAATATTAGATCACCTACTTTTCTCACCCAAAACTCGTGTTGCTAACTAACTAAAAGAGCAACGAACTCGCTTTGTGTCACATTGATTCATAATTAAATATTCATGGGTACCTAACAGTTATTGCCAATACTGGAAATTGATCAGCATACAGTCAGATTTATACATTTATAGGCGATTTTTAGCATAATAAGCTAGTACAGATTGACAGCTAACATTAGCAAGTTGTAGCCGAAAAGGTAAACGAAAACAAGGTCGGAGAGGTTAATCTTACCTGAAAAAGACGTCCCTCACAGCGGTAGTTTAACTCACTAGTCAGTCATTCTTGTTTGAGTGCAAAACATAAGGAATAAGGCACTGCTAAAGGTTTGGGAGAGGTTTTTGACAGCTAACAAAATGATCATCTGGCTCCACACGCATCACTCTCATTGGTTTCCACAGCAACAAAGACACACCACGTGACTCCATCCGCCCATTCACTGCCGCCTGGTTTACTACAGAGTAAGTAAACATAAACAAACTGCTATCAATGAATCACAAGGTCAATGCCAAACAAACCTTGTAGGAATAGTTATGAATGAACTAAATCATGTATTACACACGTGAGTACATTACTAAAAAGATGAAGGATAACCCTATGTCCTGTCAATCACCATCATTATCATCATCATCATCATCATCATTGCACTGTCTTCCTATGACCTCTGATTTTGTATTTTATTACTAGAGATGTAACAATAACCAACATATTGTGATATCGTATCATCAAAAGTCTCACAATAATAGCACGGGCCGTCACAATATATCGAATCACAAGTTATTTTGCTTAAATGCACGGTTTTATAATAGCAACAGCTTATAAACATAGGGAACTACATATCCCATGATTCATTTCAGGGCAGACAACATGATAAGATATGTTTTTTACTTGAATTCTTGGGATTATGGCAGTAATAATTCATACCAAAATATTGTCAAGGTATTTTAAATCAAAAAAGTGTCCCATCTACAATTATATTAGCCTTTTCAAAATATTTCAATAAATATCGTACCTTGAGATGCATATCATGATAATATCCTACTGTGAGATCTGGATATCGTTACATCCTTTTATTACTTATCTTTCTATTTTATTTTGACTTGTACATTAACATTTATATAGTTTTGTCTTATTTGACACCTGTCTATTGCAATTTTTTGCTTCTTATTTGAATTTATTGTTACCATTTATATTTTCGCTCTTTGTTATTATATTATATTGTGACGTGTGAGCTACTGTGTCCAAATAATTTCCCTTGTGGATCAATAAAGTTTGTCTAAGTCAGTTTAAGTCTGTATAAGTGACATTTGGCAAGTGGACAGGCACCTTACACATTCGCAGATTCTAGTTGTAGGAGCTATTTGCTAATTTGTATAATATATTTTCCCTTTGTTAATATTGTGGTTGTTAATTTGTTTAGATTAATCTGCTATTATTTACCTTAGCACCTTTTCTGTTTTGGTTTAATCCATGAGGCACCTAGGGGATAAAATGTGTTTTTGTTTGTTTGTTTGTTTTGTTTTTTTCAGTCGACAGGGAGGCAGCAAGTAGGCCTTGGTCATGTATCCCTTGTTGTTTGCCTGCCAAACAGGAATAAATCTTGGAAATATAGCTCTGGTCATGGACTTGATTTTGTTTTTTCCTTCACTGTGTAAACCACATACCCATGGTGCCCAAAAGTGATTATTTGACTTATGTTTAGTTCTGAGTTTGCTCACCGCTTTTGTCTGTTACTTTTCTTTGACAAATAGTCACTAAACTTATTATTTCAAGGAGGATAGATGAAAATAAAGTCTATTTTCTGTAGGCTAATCGTGAGTATCAAATCAGTATATCTACATATTTTGGTGTTGTGCTTGTGAATGTACCATTATTATGTATATTTACTGAGAAACTTTTTTTTTTTTTCAATAACAAGTTCATTTTATTTTCTACCTTGGTACCTTATTAAATTTCCATTGGCTATAGTTATTGCTGGAAGGCTGGGGATAAAGTTTGGCAATGTCACTTGCCACATACTTGGCCAATAATTGTAATCAGTGACAAATCAGCGTATCCACATATTTTGGTCATTCCTCATGTGGTTAAAATATTAAAAATGTCCTTGTCAAATGTGACACCATTGCAGTGTTCACACGTGATGTTTCGTTCACATTGTCTTCCTCAGTGAAGCAGGAATCTTCTTCATAGTGATCCCATTATTAGTGACAGGGTTAGCTGTCCTTCCTGAGGCTTTGGAGCTGTGCTGCATGCTGACAATGTCACCACTCGTCACCTCCCGCTCTGCACGGCGGAAGAAATGCCTCACAGTCGCCTATGGGAGTGTAAAACAAGAGCATTAGGCATATGGGAAAGAACTGAGTAAAACTTGAATAGTTTTACTTCAGAATATAATTTATCATAGTAAAAGTACAAAGCAGACATTTAAAATTAAGTGAAAAGAGTGGTAAAAAGCTAGGTCTAGTTCAGCACTGATTAAAGGTTCAGATATAAGATTTGACGGCGGCACCAGCAGCTGCAGCAGCAACAACAGCAACAGCAGCAACAACAACAACAACAACAACAACAACAACAACAACAACAACAAGTACTACACTGAAGTCTTCTGACCAACTGACTAACCCGACTTTTTATACTCCTTGGCAGGAAGTACCTCCTCCAGGTAAGTACCAACATCCTTTTACAGGTCACATATGTACAAGTAACTTAAAAAAAAAAAAAAACTTTAAGCTCCTTTAAATCATAGTGCTTAAAATAAACTATATAAATCAACTAGAAACACTAAAATACCAAATACACAAAAACAATGAAACAAAAAGAAGTTAAACAGTTCCCCTCCCCTCCACCTGGTTCGGTCCAGGACCTCCTCCAGAGGCTTTAAAAATGACCTACCTGTGGCACACACCCTCCTTTGTCTCCAGACCATGTGGAGGAACATGTAAGTAACTGAATTGTGTAACTGAAATGAATTAACAAATAAAGTCTACTTGAATTAACAATGTGTGGGTGATAATTTAACTGATGAAACAAAACAGAACCCAGGATTATGTCAAACTGTTTAGTATATTGAAAATGAACACATTAATGTGACTTTAAATGGAACAAAGACCCACTTGCCACAAGAATAAACAATAGATTCAGGAAAGGTACAAATATATGAATATTTTTGGGCTCTGTCATGGCAAAAAGACTAATATTAAAAGACTGGAAAGCACCAACAGTCCCAGTATTTAAAACTGCACTTTTTGAACAAGACAGGAGACAAATCAAAACTTTGTTTTCTCACTGCGCAAGTCAGCATTCAAAAAAGTTTATATATTTTTATATATATTTTATATATTTTTAAATACCCTTTTGACTCACTGGGTGTAATTAAATGTATATTTTCTGTTTACCTGAAAATTATTTGTGACAAAGCAGTAAACCACAGGATCCATACAGCTGTTCAGACTGCTGAGAGTCACTGTCAGATGGTACACAACGGCATGATGAGGCATATCTGGGTAGAAATACACAACAACCTGGACAAATAAGAAATAGTTTGATCATTTAAAACTGATGATGAGTCTGAAATTTTCATAGATTTTTTTTCCCCCCATACCTGTCGGATATGGAAAGGTGTGAAGCAAACTGTAAAAATAATCAGGACTGTGCTTAACAAGTGGACGGCTTTTCTCCTTCTCTCTCTAAAAAAACAATACAAATATGTTTTAAGCTCTAGTAGTGGTCGTAATTGTGGAATTCCATTTGTTTTTATAGAACTGTTTTTACCTGCTCTGTTGCATGAGGCGTCTGTCACCCAGGGCCCACATGATGCGCGTAGTGAACACCACGATGACGAGGAGGGGCAGGAAGAACTCCGTGATGGTGAGAAAGAGGAGCCTGAAGAAGCAATCCGTTTGCTGGAATGCCGTGGAGAGGAGGGAGTAGGTGACTACGATCGCAAACAACCAAACCGAAACACACACACATTTGGCCACACTAGAATTTCTCCATTTTCGAGATGCTTCCACCTAGAATGAATGAATAAATACATCAATAAGTCATACGGCACAGAACCTTCTTCCTCCTATATAGTGAGATAGCCACTACTGTGCATACTCCTAGAACCCCCTGTAACTGAGTAGTTTTTCTCAGTTAATTGACTCTTTATGTATTAACGTGTAAAAATGAGTAACAAGTACTTTTTACAAGATACTTTTACTTTACAATTCACTGTGCAACATTTCTAGTGGAGGGTCTGCAATCTGCTTGTCTTCATAGAGACTATGGTATTAAACGTATCCAGTTCTATAAAGACAAGTAGACAAATGCTTTTCAATGTGTTTCTGAGCAATAAACACTGATAAAAAAAAATATATATATAAGAAAGACAGATGATTTTAATTCATTCTGGGTAAATCAATGATCTCTCTGTGAGACTAGCAGGTGATGGACCCTTCACCAGAAAAGTTACACATTGCACCTTTAAGTACAAATTCGGCAGCAATTCTTGAACATGTAATTGTACAGATTTCTAGTAGTTTTTCTTCCACTGCTAAAAAGTTTAGGCAATCAAAGAAAGCAATCAAAACTGTGGTAGAAGTGAGTAAAGTACAGTAGGGTTGGTGAAAATATGACTCAAATTACAGTTGTAATGACAGCTGCCCTGGGACAAACTAAAACACAAATTATCACTCAGACAGGTACACAACCATAATTCAGAAGTGGGCTGGGTGAGTGTTATGCTCAAGGACACAACAACAGTCAGTGTATATCTTTCAAACTGGGGAACATTTACATCGCAACCCTGAATAATTTACATAAACACATTGGCTTTATAAAGATTTTGTGAAAAAGTATTGGACCCACCTGCACAATGGCCAGGTACCTGTCCACACAAATGCAGGTGAGGAACAGGATACTGCAGTACATGTTGACAAAGTAGCTGAAGATGTGCAGATAGGAGCAGGTGACACAGCGCCCCCTGCTGTAGTAGTGGAGGATGCGCGTGGGTAGAGAGAGGTTGACCAGCAGATCTGTCACTGCCAGGTTTATGGTGAAGATGACTGAAGTGCTCTTTTGTTTAGTGCGGAAACAAAACACGTATAGAGCCAAGGAGTTGAGTATCATTCCTGCCTGAAATTGAAGAACAGATTATTATTATAAAGTATTGCAATTTCAGGGAAGTTTACTGGTTGAAAAAGAGTCTTTACCAAAAATATGATGGAGTTTATAACCATTAGGGAGATCCATAGACCATAAAAATCATTGTAGAGACCCTCGTCCAAATATGCCAGTCTCTGATGATATGCCCCCATGCCACTCTGGTTGGTGGAGTCAGGGATTATGGGTAATGTAGTACTGTTCTCAAACCAGGACTCAGTGCTGTTAGACTTCATCCTCAGACTTCATTGTGATCGCATTGAGGGAAATGATTGTAGGAAATAGCTAAGAAACAAAAACATATAATTTATGACAATACATTTTATTAATTCAGTTTTTATGTTAGTGTTGTGAACAAGTAATATGATGTTGAGATGTTTATTAAAAAAAAAACTAAATATGCACACAATGTTGGTATGGGTTCTGAGATTATAATCAAATTAAATAAACATCTATTTGTTGTTATAAAATAAACTATAAATATTAGTTTGACCATTGGTTTGTTTTGGTATTTTAGACTGCTTCAGACTCCAGTAAAACAAGTTAAACATAAAATGATTCCCAAGTATATGTTATATGAAAAACTAAGTGTAACATGAGAAAAAATATGATAGTTAAGATATAGTTGGGTAGCTATTATATCCATTCATATACAGATGATTCAAGTACAGGAGTTAAGATAATATACACATTGTTTTGTTATTTCCCATTTGAATGTATAGACTACTCTCTGAAGTCATTTTGAGTTTAACAGCGGACAGCCCTGAGCCTCCCTTCATCCCTGTAATATTGTTCTGTGCTGCTCGTGTCTCCAAAGGCATTTCCGACTGCAGCAAAACACTCTCTGATGAAAAATACCATCTTCTCTGACTAATGACAATGAATACGATGAATAATGGGCTTCAATAGGATTCGAACCACACCACATTAAGATTACATGAGGAAAATAAATGTCGCCTCATGCACTTACATCCCCTGATATTATTCAACTTATAGAAGCCAGTTCATCATCATTAGCCACACTAACAACTGATGTGCGCACTGGGGAAATCGTGTGTTTAACTAATTCTTCTTTTCCAAACCGCAGAGACATTACAGTTGCACGACAAGTCTACTGCATGAGAGTAAAATATTGTTATGTAAATGAGTGAGATAGTGCATAATAGTGTGTACTTCTAAATTAAATTACTTCATAAACTCCCAGAATGCACCACAGCTAATTGAAAACACATTAGGGTTGATTACAGTTTAGTGCATTAGATGATATAGAGGCATTCTTTCTGATGAATTGGATATCAAAGATTTATTTATTTTTTTTTCATAAAGTGGTCTGGAGAAGAGGAAGTCACTTTACAAATAATGCCATTCAAATAAACAGGCAGCATGAGATTTCTGTGTATACCCATGGCCAATACTGCAATACTGGGTACTGTGTGAGTAGAGACAATCTACAGAATGCAGTGTGATAGTTAATGTTTAATAATATTGTAAAGGACAGATAAACAGTTTAGAAATTCCAATTGTTTTCTAGAATTTATAATTTAGCATATTCTGATCATATAATTCGGGTACATTACAGAATTGATTGATTAATTGTTCTTTTTTCTTCTCCTAAAGTCAGTTCTCAAAAAAAAAAAAAGTTTTTGCTTGACATTAATCTAAAATCTATGAAGAGTATTATTTTCAATTTATTATTTACACAGTGTCACAAATGAATCTTTCTTTAAAATTACTCTTCTTGCTTATTATCAAATTTCTTTTACACTTACCTTGGATCCTTCAGTAACGCTTATATTCAGTGCTCCCAAAACATAGTCATAAAATCACTTAAAATCACATCCCGTTTGTGATTCTTAGTCCATTATGTCCTTTCAGAATGTGTCCCCTTTCCTTCAGCTCGGTCCCTCTTCTCTCCCTCTTGCTCTAAATCTCAAAGTCTGGTTTCAGGCAGGAAGTCCTCTGTGTTAGGATTCTGCTCTTACTGTCTTGCAAAGATCCACTGGACACTTTATCATCATTTTACGCATATATTTGTCTTTTGTGGTCTAACTATTTTATTCTTTGCTCTAACTATTTTATTCTTTGTCTCTTGTCTTTGTCTTATTGAGAGAGCTGCACACCAATGGGCTTCATAAATAAAAACTGCTTTGACAATTAACATAACCAATAAGCTGCATGCTCTACTCTTGATACTATTTGAGAACCATCCTCTATAATCGTACACTTTGTAGCATTCTGGTTACACAGCATGGCATTAAACAAATTTCCATGGCTACAGGCAAGCAGGTGGCGTACCCTCTACCAATTACGTAATGCACCTTTAAGTGTATCTTTAACTCACACTTTGAATGTAAGAAATGAACACATGCATCCTGTTATAGGCCACTTTTTGAGAACTATTCAAAAGACAGGAGAATTTGTTTTAAACTTTAACAGCTGTGGCGGTGGTCTTTGTTTTTCAATGGTTCAATGGATATTAAAAATAAAATAAGAATAAGAATACAACATAAGTATACCACATATAATTAGGCATAAACCATAAACCATTCAAACAGACTTCCAACTCTCTGGGGGACAGAGTAAATATAGTTTAAAGAAAAGCCCCAGTTTGTATGGGCATGAGTCCATCCATCTTTCACACAATGCGACAGGTGCGTCTGGCGCTTCCTGTCGAGCAGTCATCATCGCTCAGCGCCTGTCAGTGTTTCTGGAAAAGTCCGGAATAACGGATGTAACATGGAGCATCAGTCTGTTCCTATGGATGAGCTGGGAGAAAGGAGCTGGTCTGGGACATACTGTGGGACCAGACACTGTAACAGTATATGGTCCCACAGTGTGTCCCAGAATGTGTTGGTATGTGCTGGTGATTGCCAACATATGTCAAATGGTGGGAGGAATACGGATTATTTGTAAAAATGTATTCAGTTATTAGCACTCCCAAAATTGTACTTGAGTAAAAAATAAAACATGCTTATAATTAATCAAAGTATTAACAAGAAACAAATTCATTTTATACAAAACCTGAGCAATAATTGTTTAAATATGCCTTTTCTTTGATCTTAGGACAATGTGTGTTTGTATAGGTATAGAAAGGAGCAGAGACAGTGGTGAGACAGCTCTGCTTTGGGATGTCAAGAAAATGATTCCTTCTTGAATTGCAGGATTTTGTGAGAACCTTTTATCATTGAAAAGAGCTAATTTATAGCATTTTTTTTTTTTTTTTTTACAAATGATCTGAATTGCATTATTGTCATAGCAATGGAGGACTGTTATAATCCTTGTGACTAGTACAGTACTCTACAACTCCTATCATTTTAATTGTAGTACAAGTTACGTGGCTAGATTGTACTAATTAAAGTACACATTTAAAATTCTACCAAAAATATCATAGCAAACAATATAAATATACTTCTGCACATTTGCTTCAGCCCCTTATGTGGCTCCATAAATCTGAGGAGGTGCAGAGGCAATAGTGCATTTAAGTCAAAATAAGTCAGTGTGTCAAAATGGCTCTGAATATGAACGGGTCACAGGAAATGATGACATAGTTGCAACTTCTTTTTACTAAACCTCCTGTTCTCCATCAGCGATGCATTTTATCTGTCACAAGTGAGAGGATATGGAGAAAGAATGGCAGCATGGTGGAAACTCTCTGTCAACAAACTGAATAGACCATTAGACGCCCATATGGAGGGGGCTAGTACAGGGCAGTGCTTCTCAAACTGGCGTGTGGGATTCTTCTGCAGGCATTTGTTTCCTCAAATATAATGTCTTATTATTTCATGTGATTACAAATCCTAAAATATTACTATTCCTAAAATAGTCATTACCAAATATTTATTATTCAGAATTGCCCAAATAAACATGCACCATTTTCTGTACTTGTATTTTTTTTTAGTTTTCATATATTTTGAAGTTTTTGAAGCTGTAAGTTCTTATTCCATAAACTGAAGGCACCATATAAATAAAGATATGTGTAGTTTAGTGTAGTTTAGAATTTTAGACTCCATTCAAATGTCCTTTTTGTAGAACAGAACAATTACTAAGTTCATTGTTTAACTCTGTGTCCCAAGTGTGAGCCAGAGCCATCAGTCTGAATCTGTGTGTTGAATATTCTGTCAGTGAGACGTAGAGCAGAGCACAGACCAGTCATCACACCGAGACATTATACTTTAAAATACCCATTCTAACATTATCTGGGGTAAAATGTGAAATTATTTATCCAACATTTGAGGCTTTATTAAGGCTTTTGTTATGCACCTGTTGAATTGAAATTGAAGTCCCGGTCTCAACAGTAAATGGTTACTAGTGAAAATGGGACATTTATCAAACATGATGGAGTGAAACTTGTTCTATGACTAAAACAAAATCTCTTATAATTGCTTTTATAGAAAACATTAAAGTAGTGGTCACACTTCATTAAACCTTTTTATTTTTAAATTAGCTATGACAACCCCATTGTTCACAAAAATAAAGTCTTGAGTGTTCGTCTCCAAAAACACTCAAATAAAACAAATAAAATTATACATTGCATAGAACATTTTAACTGTGTAACATTTTCATGTAAAATGGCAAGAGACAGTACCACACCCTCTGCAACACTAGTAGTTTATATTAATATTAAAAACTATGTAAACCTTTATTCCAAGTTTCATATTTGAGATGCTACATGTGCCGACCATGTGGACATATACTTGCATTGAAATTACACTGAGTGTTGTAAAAACTCAGTTCTTAAGAAGAAAATAACAAAAGCTTGATACTCAGAAGTTGGACCTAGTTATATCATCATATAAAAGTATAGCTGCACTTTAAAATCGAAATTTGTCTTTGTTGCAGCAAGTTATGCATAAAATGTTGATCAGTACAGTATTCAGCATTTGTGACTAGGATACAGGTCAAACGTAATTGACTCAAAGAAATCTTGTAACAATTTGAACCATGGCATTGTAAATGTCTAAAGCTTTCTGTGTCTATGGTTATATAGCTGCTCTAAATATTAATTAGAGTTTTGGTATGATTTTGAGCTTTTAGTGCTGATATAAAATCTCTGTCTGACATAAAGTCTGCGTCTGTTTGATAGATCCAGTATGACGCTGAATGCCCTGAAGTCTGTGTGTTCCTGAGTGACTTTAGTTGGCATGGTTTATAGAGGACTTTGGCTTAGTCTGTGTCCTGTCTGTAGTGGAGCACATAGTAGTCATGGACATACATCAGAATGGCAAACGGCTGTCCGATGATCAGGGACATCCACACTGCAGCATTGCCATAGTTGCCACGCAGAAGGTTGCCAACAAACCAGGCCAGTGGAAGCTAAAAGAGATTTAAGACGGGTCATTAGAAAAACTGGATACTAGAGCAAGCTCATACTGAAAGTTTCTACCTTTTAAAGGTTAATTTATTCATTAAGATAAAAACACTGAGGTCTTTCTATTTCTTGGGAAATACGCTCCACTGAGTTAAAATAGTCTAAGATTTTTAAGACATGCATCAACTTAATGATTATTGTCATTCTTTGACCAATGGAAATTAATTAATTCGGGGATCAACAATAAAAATTAAGCACGTTTTTTTCTTTGGAAATTTTTCACCTTTCTGAATCAACTTGGTAACAGAAAAAACATATTCTTGGGGAAAGTAATGTATTTTATAATTATATTTTTTTGTTGCAAAATGGACTTAGAGCAGATATGAACCTTGATTTGTAAAGCGCCTTTTAAAACATTTTGCATTTTACATGCATAGGAACATATAGAAGTTAAATAGTCAAAGTTACCTGAGCCATCATGCCCATAAATGCCCAGAGTCTGAACATCCTCAGAGGAACACTGACCAGGTACTGAAGAGACAGCAGGAGGCCAGATCGCAGTTATACATCGAGATTTTTAATCAAATAAAAACATGAACAAGACAATCATTTTATTTTTACTCGTACCTCGTGGAAGAAGGCTGACAAGAAGAAAACTGCTGACTGGCTCACTATTTTGCTGAACCCTCTTTTTATCAATGGCTTGTAAAAGTGCCTAAAAAGAATTGATTAGAGACAAAGATTACCACCAGTTTTACTACAATATATAGTGCATTCAAAACAGTAAAGGCATAATTATACACATAGTTAGTCGCATTTATTTGTGCTAAGACTTCACTAGGGGCTACTGAAAGCAAATGACCAATAAAGATTCTAATTATATTTAATTTGCTTTGTCTTGTACAATATACTTTAAACCCGCCACCACCAGAGCAGACTGCAGAGAGAGTATGTACTTTAAATAGCTTTTAGAAACACAATGAATCTATTTCCCAAATGTGTTCCCTTCTCATAAATGGTAATGCTCTGTGCTTCCAGTGATGGAGCCGTGTGCACAACTCACCGTAAACACCACTTGTGAACAGGGATGTTCCAGTTCTGCCAGAAATAAGTCACTGTCTCAGCGTTCCTAAAACAGAATCAGCAGAAGCAATAATGAAAACAACAGTGTAAATAATAAATCTAATGCAGTCGGGTTGATATAACGAAATCTCAATGGGCAAAAAGGACTACATAAAAAAGTTGGAGCAATCACACATGGATATAGACTTTGTTTAGTTCTAGTCTTGGTGTAGTCTTGGTCTACTATAGGTTTAGTCCTGCTTCCAGAGGTGGGACCAAGTCTTTGTTTTGCAAGTCTCAAGTAAGTCTCAAGTCTTTGACCTCAAGTCAGAGTCAAATCCCAAGTCAAATACTCACAAGTCCAAGTTGAGTCTCGAGTCACTGGCCCATAAGTCCAAGTCAAGTCCAAGTCGTCTGCTTTCAACTTCAAATCATTTCAAGTCTTTAAACCAAAGTACCAAATATAGCTTAGATTTTTGCAATTAATATGACTTTTAAGATAAATTGTACTTAAAAAAGCTTATTATATTTGTATGTGAGTATTTATAGAGTATATAAGAGTTGTAGAAATTAATCTAGTTATTTTTTCCTTTTTAAATGTCTTGACAAGATCTTAGTGTGAATCATTACAGTCAGAATAGAAAGAATTCAGATTTAAAAGTGCTCCTCAAGTCTTCTCAAGTCACAGGCCTCAAGTCCGATTCAAGTCCCAAGTCCCTGACCTTCAACTCCAGGTCGAGTCCCAAGTCTTAGCTCATTTTATCAAGTCAAGTCTCAAGTCCTAAAAATAGTCACTTAAGTCTGACTCGAGTCCAAGTCATGACTTGCAAGTCCCCACCTCTGCCTGGTTCAGTCCCAGTTGTGTGTCATGTGCACAAGGTAAAAGCAGATTTAGTTCCAAAGTGTTTTATTTATTTTTGCTAAACACATTTTTGCCTATTTTTTTTTTTTAAATTATTATTTGTGCTAACTTCATGTAGTTAACGTTTGTTGTGAATAGTCATAGTAAACATATTTGCAAAGTTTGAAGCCACATGTTTTATACAAGTGGAAAGACGTTAAGATAAATGTAAGAAAGGATATTCTTCAAAGTGTTTACTGACATATACTTTCCTTTCCTGTAAGGGTTTATATATATCCGACTCAATCGTTTACCAGTAACTACAGTATTGACTTGAGGAAAGAACCTGCATAGATAACAGCCTGTTAGCCATTTAGACCTGACACTGACCAATAACTGTCCTCGTGTTTGTGCTCTAACACCAATTTAGATCAAAATGCATGTACCCACAGTATCAGAGGTAGAATGTCAAGTACACTAGACCCTAAACAAATATTTCTCACAGTATTGTTGGGTAAAAATGTTTGTAGTGGAATAAAAAACATAAACAAATACATATAAGCTGCTGTGAAGTTTCATAGTGCACCTGACATTATAGCCCCATCAATGGAAACAACATGGGAACACTGACTTACCCTGCTGAGAATTGCTAGTCGCATTTTCTGTATATTCAAACCTATATGAGCTCTACTTTGTTACAGTAAAAAGCGGGTCTCTTCATTTCAGGCAGCATTCCCATACAGTCCACTGCACACATCATGGCGTTCATAAACAGTGAAGCTTACCACCAGTCCTTGTAAAACTGCCTGTCACCGAAGCGCAGCAGCTCAGCAGTGAAATTCAAGGATGAGTGGAAGAACCAGTAGAAAAACATGAGCCACAGCAAGTGATTAGGCACCTACAAAAGACAGACGCACTGGGATAAAGCAACATGAAGAGTGTAGTGCTTAAAGCTGGGTGCCATTAAACAATAACTATATGTAAGGGAATGAATACTGAAAATAAAATACATTTGTGTGGTTGAAAACTGGTACTTTTTTTTGTTTTCTTTTGATAGCAAAGTTTTATCCCTGACGGATCCTGAGACATTTCTAGTGAATATACACTGAATATTGTCTGGCGGGGTTGTGGATGATTATGGTGCACATGCCAGTCTGGGAAACAGTACTAATAGGGATGTAACAATAACTGAAATATTGTGATATCGTATCATCAGAAGTCTCACAATAATATCGTGGGCTGTCACAATATATCGAATTACAAGTTTCTTTGCTTAAATGCATGGTTTTATAGTAGCAACAGCTTATAAACATCGGAAACTACATATCCCATGATTCATTTCAGTGGAGACAACATGAAGAGATATGTTTTTTACTTGAATTCTTGGGATTATGACAGTAATAATTCACAAAAAAATCTTGTCAAGGTATTTTAAAAGCAAAAAAGTGTCCCATCTACAATAGCCTTTTCAAAATATCACATTAAATATTGTATCATGAGATGCATATTGTGATAATATCGTACCATGAGATTTGGATATCTACTATATATTACATCCCTGGTACAAAGCAATGCTTTTTCTTATTGACAAAAACAAGCTGGGCTTAACTTTTCACTTTACTACTTCTTATTTCTTTAATCTCAGCTCATCTATAATAATGTTTTCATGATTAATCAATTCATATTTACGCCACATTCTGAGGTTGTGTCCTTGCTAGTGAAGTACTGATTATTGAGTGTTTGAACTCACTGCAAGTCGAAGAAGCCTCTCCATCATTCTGGAAAGGTCCATATCCTGTTAAAACACGGAGGTTAACAATATTCAAGTGTAAATACATGTGACTGTATTTACATGTCAGTGGTTATTTTACCTCAAGTGGTTTCATTGAGCTTTGTATGATAGGAACCATCCACTGAAAACAACAAATGTAAACACTGGCAAGTTATAATTGATAATAATACATAAAATACTGCATTGTGCCCTCTTAGTACCGTCCACTTACCTGTTGAGTGAGAGCAACTAGCAGCTGGGTGAAGAACAGCTACAACAAAGGTAAAGCAAATAAGTAAGAAACTATACCTGTAAACTGCTAAAATTAAAGAAAATATTAATGAACATAATTAGAATTTGGCCTTTTATTTACCATTTCAACCAGTCTCCTTACAAGAAAACTCATTCGGATTTTGGGAGACCGTGGGAAGTTGAGTTCGTAGCACAGAGTGGGGGCGAAAACAAAGTAATACATGTCTATAAAACAGAACAAAAAGTCACCATGAGAGACACATCTACTTGGCAATAGCATCAAGAAAATCAGCTTTTCTTTACCTTTCATAGTAAGGTTTCCAGGGTAACACACCTTTGAATCATCCCCAGCAAATCCAGAGGGGCCTTTAAGATAATATGCAATGTAATATCCTCATAATATTGAACTGCATTTTTAAAACCTCACTTCTTTGTTTATCTCCTCATATTTGAGTGTACATATCAAATCTTATTAGTGTCTATATTGCATTTGTATCCAGTTTACAATATTACTGCAATAATGCTTTATAATTCTATTGCTTTTTACTAAATGTCTTTATTTGTTAAATTGTGCTACTGTGTCCAAGTGATTTCCCTTGTGATCAATAATGTCACCATAAATCAAGATAAATCCATTCAAATTTCTCCCATTTTGAACTGCAGTGTCTACTTCGACCATGAGATGTCGCTATAACAGCATATGTGTGTGTGTGTGTGAGAGAGAGAGTGCGTGTGGACTTACAGGAGAGCGATCGGGACAGTTTTTTGGCTTTGGCGCTGCTCAAATCCCTGCACCACATGTTGACATCTCTGTAGGAGTAAAGCTTTAGGAAGAGGATGGTGTAGATGCCCAAAGCAAACACCCCTCCAACTACAAACAAAGAAAAGCAGACAAGAAATTAGCTACACGTATGATTATGTTAGGATTTCAATGTTTCTTTGAAGGTCCATGGTGCAACTTTTGTAGTAGAGGGTCCGTCAGATGCTTTTTCTTCATGGAGATGTTATTACTTTGTCTGGAATGTTTCACAGTATGGCATTAAACCTTTCTATCTTTATGGAGACCAAACCAGACCAAATTACAGGGCAGGTCTATGGAGAAACAACTCTACTCACAGTCAGTATGCCTGTTTTTCTAAGTATTTTTGAGCAATAAAACCATCTGTTACCCAGTACATGTAAGGCAGAACTGTTTAATGTCATACTGTGGAACATTCCAGACAGTGACAACATATCCATAGAAACAAGAACGTGACGGACCACCAACCGAGAAGTTACACAGTGCACCTTTAAAATGCACAGGGTAACACTGGAAATTTGTGGTGTTTTAAACTAGAAGGACAACAAGCACTCAAAACACGTAAAAATTTACTGTGTATTTATAGAGATTTAAAGTCATGTTTCTACACAGTTGGGTTAATTTTAGAATCTGTTATCTTTGTGAGAAACTCCTGAACTGAATGCTGGATGGCAAAAATATTCTCTGACTGGATATGATCATCCAAAAAGTATTAAGATAATCATTTTTTGTCTATGTAGCCCACCCTGGCTACCACAGAACAGCTGAGTGAGGTGGAGGTTAGCACACCTGGCATCCGACCAGTGCCGATCTGACCATTAACCATCTGTTTCTCTGGCGCACTGAGGCTCGGGGAAACTGGAAAGACTTCAGGACCAATAACATATCCCAATCGTGGACTATAGGGAGACTAGTTTTATTTATAAACCATTAAACTGATTAGATGCGAGATAATACTCATCATTCTTCTTGATGTTTGTGGTCAGATTTGGGAGTTTAAACACCAACGCTTCTCGGTTCTAATGCAAAAACAATGTTAGAAGGCCCTGTGTCAGCAGCAGCAGCAGCAGCTCCAGTGCTTGTCCTCGTTTGGTCTTGGTTTAGTTCTGTTGTAGACTTTGTTTGGTTTGGGGGTTTAGTATGAACAGTGGTCCTGGATTAGTTCTGTTGTAGATTTAGATTGTTTTGGGGGTTTAGTGTCAACAGAGAAAAATCCTTCACACCATCTTACTTGCAAATTGTGAATTTCATTAGGACATCAGTGACATTTCAGCACTAAGCCTTCACCAGGCAAATCATTGCATCAGAGTTTAGTATCAAACTTTGAAGTGTGACACATTGTTGCAGAAAATATTGTGATTAATGCCAATATTATAGACGACATTAAGCCACTGATAGACTTCTTCAACCTTAATGTAGTCAACACTTTCCTTTATGAACCTGACCATATTGCACATGTATTAAACTCGTGTGTGTGTGTGTGTGTGTGTGTGTATTTTGTATAAACACAAACTTAGGTATATTATTCAACTGTCTAACTCACATGTTGATATACTACACATCAGAGGTAGGAACTTGCAAGTCGTGACTTGGGACTCGACTTGGACTTGAGGCCTGTGACTGGATAAGTCTTGAGAAGCACTTTTAAATCTGAATTCTTTCTATTCTGACCGTAATGATTCGTACTAAAATCTTGTGAAGACATTTAAAAAGGAAAAATTAGCATTTCTACAACTCTTATATAAATACTCATATATATAAATACACTATGATTTATTTATTTTTTAATCTTAAAATGAATTTATATCTACAACTCTTATATACTCTATAAATACTCATATAGAAATATACTATGTTTGTTTAAGTACAATTTATCTTAAAATTCATATAAATTGCTAACCTACAGTATATTTGGCAATTTAGTTTAAAGACTTGAAATGACTTGAAGCTCAAAGCAGATGACTTGGACCTGACTTTGACTTATAGGCCATTGACTTGAGACTCAATTTGGACTTGCCTGTCTTTGACTTGGGACTTGACTTGGACTTGAGGTCAAAGACTTGATACTTACTTGAGACTTGAAAAACAACAAATTGGTCCCACCTCTGCTACATATTATAGCCTAAATCGACACAGATATGGCGGAGAGAATAAATAATCATAAAATATTGTTTATCCTATAGAACAAAGGTGGCTACACTATTTGATGTGACAGGCCTATTTGCGTGTTAATTGAGCTTCAATCATTTCTTAGGACAAATGTGTACTTTGCTGTAACAAAATAAAGTACATAATGTGATAGCAGTAGCTGATACTTCAACTCACTTTCTGTACGGCAGTCTAATCAAGATGGGAGGAGTACATGACCCTTGGATGACCCCGAACTGAGCACACCTCTTTCTCTGGGCCAACTGGAGGTAATCCAGTCGTCATGACCAACTGGTCCATTACCACTAACAGACTGTAATTATCGCTCAGATATGGGATGTCTTCAACGTACCTCACAAACCCAGCAGTCATTTTTGAAGGGCAATGAGACAAATGCTCATGAAATCTTTGCTAGAATTATTTTATTGTCTTGGTTATTGCACATGTTAAACTGAGACGGACTGTATGGAAGATTATTCTGTGTTAGTCAACTCTTTGTCATCATCACCATTCAGAGCTATTAGCCTTCAGGTTGAAATTATATACATAAAAATCCTTTTACCTGGGGTCACTGAGGGGACCATTAGGACCACTGCTGCAGGGAAGGTTAGCATGACTGTCAGGTTAATGCAGTGGACTACAAATCCAACAAGCTCACCAAAAGAGCCCTGAACAGATAAGAAAATATGATTAGAATATTGTATTATTATTATTATTCTGCTGTTCCACCTTGTGATGTCATGAAGCAGTATTTTTCAAGTCAACAACTAACTTATTATTATTATAATACATGGTAGATAATGAAAAATATCATGTTAAGTGGTGCACAAGAGCAGAAACACAATTTTTAAATTCTAATAAAAGTAAAAAAATACTTTAACTCAAATGCAAAACTTATACTTTTAGATTAGAAATAATAGATTCAGTGAAAATTGTGCACAGACAAAAAAAAAAAAAAAAAAGATTTGAGCCACTGAGCTGGAAGAACAACAAAAAAAAAAGGTGTAAACTCACTTTTGAAAGCTGTCTCTCAGTGTAGAGGGCCACCATAATGAACAGGTTAGACACTGTGACAAAAGAATACAATATTTTATACATAGAGTCACGTGGTAGGAATTCATTACTGGACTCTATATAACAATATAAACTCAAACTGCGATCAGATCCTGTGACAACCTAAAACTCTGAAAAGATTTTTGTACAGTGAATACAGCTTTTTCACTTTAATGCATGCTCAAGATAGATAGAGATAGATAGATAAATACTTTATTGATCCTGAAGGGGAAATTCAGGTATCGCAGCCTTTCTCAGGTGCACCTTTAAGAAAAACAATACAGCATAACGCAAGGTGAGGAGGATGAGAAAAAAAGAAAGAGGAGGAACACATGCATCTCACTTTCTCTACCTCCTCCTCCTATTGGTTAGTTTGTCATGTTAAAGTGAGAGACAGGTTTATTTGACCAATAACAATGAAGTGTAAATTCTTAGAAAAAGACAGTAATAGACGAGAAATATAAAGCTACAAATAAGTTAACAAGACGCGTACAATTGTGGAATGGACTCTAAGAAAATGAATACTCTTTTGTCTTTTTTGTCGTTGCCCACCCGTACTTCACAACACAAACATTTACTTAATGTTTCTCACTGCACTTCCTGTCAATATTTACACAAACTTGTCACATTTATTTTAGTACATTTTTCCACAGGGCCTTTCTGGAATACCTCTCCACAGTCTGGGCTTCCTCATGATTAAACAGCAACACCTGATGAAAGCAAATGAGGCGGCACAAACCGAACATATGTGTCACACTCTACACGCCAACTGTCGCACCGCTCTGAAGGCAAAATACGCACTCACACTTTTCATGTCACTACTATGCACTATTTTGGTTTCATGGTAAGGAATAGTTTGGCTCCATTAAATAAAGCAGATGCTGATAATACACAGAAGTGGAAAACATATTAATTATATATAAAAGCAAATGTAATATAATCTTTCACACAAGGATATAAAGTGATATTTCTGAACTTAAATGTGCATTATGTAACTTTTCTGATAGAGGGTCTGTCAAAAGCTTTTCTTCACGGAGATACTGTTGCTTTGTCTGGAATGTTTCACAGTATAGTATTAAACCTTTCTATCTCCATGGAGACCAAACCAGACCACGTTACAGGTCAGATCTATGAAGAGGTGACCCCGCTCAGTCACAATTCATATGTTCTTAGGTATTTTACCACCTGTAATTGAATAACATTTAAGGTAGAGGTGTTTAATGTCATACTGTGGAACATTCAGGGCAGAGCAGTGACATAGCCATAGAAACAAGGAGGTGAAAAAGTTACATAATGCACATTTAAGGAGTTTTACAGTCTTTTCACATTTGTCTGATACTTTAAGGTGCACTAGTGGGTGACTTTTCTTTTCTCCGAATGCTCCACAGTATGGCATTAAACTTAATCTCCATGGAGACAAGTGGGTGACGCCATAAGGCCAAGTTACAGGCGGCTTTCACTTTACCAATCATTGTAATTGCAAATCCCCCAAACATTGAGACTTTCAATTTTAGCAACATTGCCCATCCTTAATACAAAATATTATATGACTTTTCTTGTCCAAATAATTTCAGGCTCAGTTACAATATATACCTTATTTCCTTCTTAATTTCCATATCTGGCTTGAAATAGAATGATTTGCATTATAATTTAGCATAGATTTCATAATTCAAAGAAAGACTAACATATACACTTACATTAAATAAAACTGTGACTGTTTTTGGATTTATTTTGTAAGGTGAAAAATTATTCATATTCAGTAAAGGAGATAACCCCAGCATAGCCCCTGACTTCTTGTGTAACTTCTTGTATAACTCAGTGTAGTACAGTGTATCTGGTGTGCATATTACTGCAGTGGCTCTCAGCTGACTGTCCTTTGGGGATGAGCTGCTTTATTGTCCACTCCTGTAAACACTCTCACCGCTGCGAATACAAAGACACTGTAGCCTGCACAGTGCACACTAGGACTGCTCGGTTATGGAAAAAATCATAATCACAATAATTGGGCCCATAACTGAAATCACTATTATTCCAAATCATGACTTCTACACTGTCAAAATGTACCCGTAGAGACAGTATAGTTTTTACAGGGTAGTACAAGCACACAGAGCATTCTGAACAGGAGATGATTACATTTCTGTCATTGAAAAGAGCAATTAAAATCATGATTAGGCATTCCATTCATTGTGCTGTTCAAGGGCTGTCATCCACTAAGAAATTATTTGTTGACTAAAGATAAAACTGCTTCCTGATTAGTCGACTAAAAAGCTCTCAAACAATTCACTGTCTCTATGATCTGATCAACTATGGCACCACTGACCGATTAAGCGACTAAATGACTAGAGAACTACAGCCCCACACAGCAACACACAGCTTTACCACAAACAGTCCCTAATCCACTGTATCCTCCACCTGACTTAAACAGCTGCATTCTCCTCTCTGTTTGATCGACTTTATCATTCATTTCACTTTGTCTTGACTAAAGTGTCTCCTCTGAAAGGCGCTCTCCGCCTCCTGTCTGCGCCCTCTCCTCTCAGCACTACAGTGGCAGCCGCATATGCAGTATGTGCAGTATATAGGGCAGGTGATTGTGCCTCCAGAGACTGTGGAGCTGCATTACTGCAGACTTTTACTGTGAAACACCATAAAGGTAAGCACTTACTGAAGTAAACACAGGGACAACTTTGAATATTACAAATTCAGCAAGAAATCAGGGTTCTTCTACAGAGTGTGCACAGTTATGTTTTAATATAGTGCTTTTTTCATAATGGCTTAAGATTAATTACCCCATGTAATTCTCTAAAGAAATGTGTTTTTAAAGTACTCACCAATCACTAGACAGGCAGCTGGCCAGCTATAAGGATCCTTCAAGAATAATGACACAACCTGAATGGGATCTACCAGAATGCCATGTCTGAAACATTGGAAACATGAACATAAAACTAAAATTCTAACTGTAAGTATTGAAATATATATATATATATATATATATATATATATATATATATATATATATATATATATATATATATATATATATATTTAGGTTCATACCTAAGTAGATTTTCTAAGAAGAGTCGAGCATTACTGAGAATCTGCAAAACAAAGAGAAAAATAATAATTTATTTTGGTTTCCCCATTCACTTCCATCATATTTTTTGTAGCATTTTGCTTTGTGACCTTAATCCAATAAAATATGCAGTAAATGAACTGAAAGAACTGAGCACTAAACATGTGTTATTAGAGGCCCTAGCCTATAATTTGTAGACCTATTACAGTCTGAGTGTCTCTCACCAGCATCACCACACACCAGTTGAGGACTCCTCTGTAGTTGTTGTAACCACTGGCAGAACTAAGCAGTGACTCCTGTGTTTTATGACAACTAAAACAAATACAAACATATGGTTACACATTTACACAAAATCTGATTGTTTCTAATGTTTGTAATATATTTAAGAATTGAATTATGAAAAAGGGTTAATAGGCTATGTAGACTAAAAGAGCTTTACATTGTTATTGTAATCGTCATTTTTATAAGCCTCTCGTGTTAAGTACTGGGCCCTCCTCTGATAGTAGCAGTAGTAGTGGCAGCCTGTTACTACACTGATCTGTCACTGAGTGAACTCAGATGACCGCAGAGGTTCAGGTCCTTCAAGGACAGGGCCAGAACCGGGGCCAGGGGCGCAGAAAAGAAAACAGTCTAAAGGTACTGGACAATAGCCCACCAGCTCCCACTCAGTAACATGATCTAAACATTTCACCTGAGCATATCACTGGGTTTGTCATTTCTCCGCTTGTGTTTTCCACTTTTGCCCTTTGATCGCGTTGCTTCCGGTGCTGCGTGTTTCTTTCCCGGGATGTCTGCGCTCTGTTCCGGGCTGTCCGCGCTCGGAGACGCGGCCACGGAGGCTCCGTTCATCGGCATGAGACTCCCTGCTCTTCCCACCGCGAAGGTCGCCCTTCTCCTGAGCGTAACCCCAGATGCACCCGAATCCGCCATTGTTAGAAATCAAAGGTAGCAGGCCACTAGCAAACTTTGTCAAAGCATCTCTTAAAGTAGCATGACAGGAGCTCTGACACAGGGAAATGGACGGACCGCGGTCCCCACGGTCCCCAGCCCGCCCAGAGTTCAGATTTCCGCACAGACAAGTGGGAGTGTGCTCATGACGCCACATGTATGAGGCAACAATACCCCGCGGCCTCTTCTATCATCAGGGACACGGAGAGGAACTCAGGCCTACGTGCGTAAAAGTAAAAAGCCGCACTATGTAACTTTTCTGATGGAGCTCCACCCTAGGGTACGCCTTCTGCTTCTTCATGGAGAGCTTGTATTAAATGTCTGGCTCTGACAACAGTCTGTCTTCAGTCCATTCAATGAGCCTACAGCCTGTTTTTTACTCGGATAAACACACAGAGAGTAAATGCACCGCGCTCTGACTGTGAGTGCGAGTCTCTGTTCCCCCAGATATGACATGCACCTCAACATAATGGTTTTACCTGCTTGTCCCCCTGGAGATAGATAAGTTTAATGCCATACTGAGGAACATTCCAAACAAAGCTGGTGGACTCTCCATGAGAAAAGTTACATACTGCACCTTTAATAGTTCTATTGGCTTTAGATAAAACCAGGTTTATATGGTAGACTTGCACTAACTCTAGAATTGATTAGGACTAAAGGAAGCTTGTCTGTTTCCACCCCACACTGGGCAGGTTCTGATCAGATGCAATGATCGTCTCTTATCAGGTCTGTCTGTCTGAAGTTGTCTTGAAGAGTAATGGTCTGTCTGAAACTATTGGGATTAGGCACTCAGGATGGAAATCAAATCAATAGGACATTCCTAAATGTTTCTCCTTTGTGCATTTCTTATTTTCACATTTACGTTTTGTTTTAGTTCTACTCATCACTCATGCAGTTGTTAATTAGCCTCACCCATTCTGTATTTTGTGCTTTTGATGGGTTATATGACTCTATTAAATGCACCACCAGTAGAGGGAGTGCAAGTGCTTTTTAAACTTCATTTAGCCTTTGGGTGAATGTCTTAGCCAATAATTTCGCTCCACTGCTGAAATATAGCCTTGTCTTTATTGTATTTGTATTATTGTTTCAAATGGCCACACAATACTTTACTCAGAAGCAGTAATATTCCCTTATTCATGTCCAACCTTATTCATTTCCCCTCTCTTTGCGTGTGAACCAGCTCGGGCCTCGATCAAGTTATTTTTGACAACCATTTAAAATTTAGAGAATATGTGGTTTTAACTATACATTATTGATGTTTTCTGTAGGGCCTCAAAACTAAAGCTGTTAATGTGCTGCGGGAGTCAGGCAGAACAACTCAGAGCTTTTATTGTAGTGTTTAAATAAATATACATGAATTATACGACTTGTTTACATAATTCTGTCTTCACATGTGCGTAAAGAAGACTGTCCCTTTCTGCTGATGTCACGCGTTTGAAGTACAAGTTGATAGATCCAGGGCTAAATATAGAGAGAGGAGAAGGTGAGATGAGTGGGGGGTCTCACATTGTGTCTATTCTGTGTGTCTCGGTTTCTCGCTCCATCCCTGCCTTTTGAGGGGGCAGTGAGATAGTGTTTGCCCTTGTAGGTTGTAATGAAGCCGTGGAAGGATAGATGACTCACTTTAACACAGGCAGAAAGGAAATACACCTCCGACATCACATCTGACCAACGGACGGCCAAAGTTCTACAGGATGAATCAAAAACTGCAAAAAAGAAAGAATAAAGGTGTGAATCACTGTTGGCACGCTAGGCTCACAACTGAACGGTTTGGGAAAAATGTCTAGTGTTGCTTACAAGCGTTGCAGTTGCAGATAGATTTGTGGTTTAATAGTAGGATTCTGTTCAAAGTTTAGATTTTAAATGTATCCAGACAGAAATATGATATAAGAATCACATTTCAAAACGTTTCTACAGATCTAAACTACAGTTAGCAGTTTATATGCAGAGTAAGGCAGGATAATTTGTTGTTTGTGGAGGAAATGATGGTACTTAAAAACTGCAGATTTGTGATTTGGTTATCTCAACATCTGAATCTGGGTCCCTGTGCTGTCAAATACTCTTTCTCACCCAATGGCATTGCTTAAAGGATGGCTCAAATCTCTCTACACAGATAAGGCATGCAAGTCTTGCCAGTCCACCACCTGCTTGTCTCCATGGAGATGTTATTAATATGCTTAGAATGCTACACTGTATGGCATTAAATATAACTCTTTGCATGGAGACAAGCAGCTGATGCCACCAGGCCAGATCTGTGGAGAGGTAGCTCTGCTTGTGGATGTTTTTTTAAATCAGTCCTGTAATTTACGTGGTAGTTCGAGTTCCAGTTTGCACAGTATATCTCAATTTTACTAATCATATAGAAGATAAATATCACTTAATCTGTATAACACTGATTTTATGATAAATAATCTGACATTAGTTTGCAATGGATTATTCTTGAAAGTTGTTGTGTTAAAGCTATAATAACAGGACGGTGCCATGTGACTATACCAGCTCCTATGCATAATATACCGCTGCAGTGCATAGGCTATAAAATCAGTTGATGTTTCTGGAGCAAAGGCCCCTTTCTAAGTGCACCTGTGTGTCTTATAGCTGGACTGGTCGTGGGGAGAGCTATGGAGGCGTCGGAGCGCTGGGAGACGAGCGGAGCCACGTCAGCACTGTGCGGTTCAGCCAAGGACTTCTGCACACTTTATCTGTGCACATGTCTGTCCATACTGCGAGGAGAAGAGAGGGAGAGGGGGAGAGGAGGAAGAGGAGGAGGAGGAACGAGAGTGCCGGATGACAGAAATCAATGCAAGTATGTTACATCTGATATTGAGCTGATTAGAAGTCACTGAGCTATGCAGCAAAACATAAGGGACTGTGACTTTTTAAAAACACTACATCAAAATAGCCAATACAGTTTGGTCAAATATTAACTGCATTTCATTATTTATTATTTATTTTACATTTTTTTTTATCTAATATCTCATTAGTAAATCTCAATGGTATATCAGGATCCTTTTATTTTATTTTATGGTAGTTATTGTAATTACTGTTTAATTAGGCTCATTTAAGCACAAACAAAAGACATAATTCATAATGAAGAAATAGTTAATTAAGAATGATTCAGGCTCAGTAACTTTATAATAAATGGGTAGTCATTAGGGTTAAGGTGAGGTGTTAATGATGTAGTATTTAAGACGGAATCATTCTCAATAAATCATTTGTTCATTACATATTAAGTCTTCACTCTTGGTTTTTTAAGGTGTTTTAGTAACATGTATTAAAAGTGTGTTCATTAGAGTGTTATTCATTTGAGAATAAGATTATTTATTGTCCCAACAATACATTTTGACTGTGAGTTTGCATATAAATAAAATAGAAATATCAGAGTATGTGGTTTTGGGATGTTTTACTGACAGTTGCCCATTTGTGCAACATTTACAAAACTAAACACATAGCACAAAGCTTGCAGATTGTCCTTATTTGATAATGCCAGTTTTGTCAATATTCCCCACCCGCTTTAAAGCACCATACTTTTAAGACTTCACTCCTCACTGTCCCTAATGCCACACCATTTAAAGATATGTTGTTTCTATCCATTTAAAAGGTTACCATCACAACCGTCTCCCACAATTCTGCTCTGCATTAGACTCTAGATGATTTTAATGCCACATAAAATAGTTTGACTTGTTTCTGGTTGGGAAAGGGCACAAATGGGAGAGACACAGCAGAAAGAAGCTTGGAGCGGTACGATTATGTGCGAGTATTTGAGGCTGCTACTGACCATGTTTAACAACTGGCCTGGGGAAATGTCATTCACTCTCTGTATGTGAGGGCCATGCTGGGAACGCGATGTAGCATGGGACGTAGAGGATGGAGGAGCAGAAGAAGCATTTTATCTGTTTCATTTGTAGCCCCAGTGTCTCTCCGAGCGTGAAATAGGTGAGTTTGTTCGTCCCGGTCGCAGAGAATTTGACTGCTTTTGGTTTTACTGAAGAAAAGTGCTGCAAGTCGTAAAGCTGTAATAGTGTTTGTGAAAGCTGCAGATGTTTGGGGGAGTTTAGAGTTGTTATTTGTGTTGGACTTTATGGTATATTTAATCAGTATAGATTTTTAAATCAGCACTCAGTAAATTCTTTTAGATCTTTTAAAGGCCACACACATGCATTTATATACTTCTATCAATTAATTTATCATGGTGTTGATTTGTCATTTTATTGACACTGGGCTAACCTTTATTCTAAATGGTTTGGCTCATCCATTTTGGCAATCAAGAGCATCTTTGTTTGCCAATGGTTTAAATTAATTACTAAATTAATCATTAATTAATCATTGGATTTATATGACACCCACAAAGATGTACAGTGTATTATTCATTAACTCCACACTCAAGATACTATTTTAGCCACAGCTGCCTTGGGTCAGACTGATGGAAGTGAGGCTGACTCAGGCTGTCTCAGGCATCAGCCCCATGCACACGCACCACGTTCTTACTGGGCAGTGTGGGTAACATGATTTGCCCAAGGACACAGCGACAGGATTTTTTGGCACCTGTTATTCCCTGTGGTCTCCCACCCAAGTTCTAACAACGTCTGTCCTTGTTTAGCTTCTGAGGTCTGATGAGAGAAGCCAGTATGGCCACTCATGATTTGTAAAATCCCTTGTCAGAACATGAACACAGACGTGATTCATTCTCTTTGTTTCATTAGCATCCACAAACTGCTCACAAACATTAGTGCAATAGTTCAGATAGATGGGATAATATGAGTACACTCAAATATTGTTTCCACATTGTATCAGGTGATGACGCAATGCAAGATTTCAAAATATCTTTTTGAAAGTTCAGACAGCTTAAAATAAGATATGTTTTAAATGCGGTTATTGTGATCCAGGGCATCCTCACACTTCTGAGATTTTTGTTTTTTTAATTTCTGTCTGACTTCAACTCAAGCAACACTCCAATCAACTCCGTATAATTGTCACTGAAAGATCGTCACTCATTTACACCCCAAAGCTGATCATTTTACACCACATTTTTACACATAATGAGTTAAATATACTTCGGACTTTTACTGATATTTTTCTCAATAAAAGTCTACAGTCAATCAAAAAGCCATTTAGGGGAAATGTGGGTTGTTTCCTCTTCATTCTGTCTTCTCTGTGGGTGGGATTCACGCACCTTATACGTTTTGAAGTATTCCGTTGAGAACTAAGTCATTTTA